GATTCACATCCTCTCCTTGAAAGGGTTAGTTTTCCTTCCATTTTCTAACATTTTTTCTATTATCCTGAAACTATACGCATTATTTAACAGCCACGAGCCACTTTATAAAACTTGCAGATGGATAGAAGAGAACCTGATGATCCTAGTCCATACCTTCTAGCCATATGGACACCAGGTAAGCACAAAACCTGTGACTTCCAATGCTTTCAACAGCACCTAAAACGAACTCAGACAACCTATATTGTCTTTAGAAAAACCAATTACTATTAAGAGCATATTGTGAAGCTTGAAGGCATGTTAATATGACATTAGCAAAGTAGCAAGCATTCTAGTTATATGATTGGACAAGAAGTAGTGAATGCCCCTACCATGAATAAAAGATGCCACTATCTTGTAGTATACTAAGTACTATCTTATTATTAGGTGAAACTGCAAATTCAATTGAGCCGCCGGACCAACAATGTCAGTCCCGCGAAGCAAACAAATTATGCAATGAGACGACATGCTTTTCATGCAATAGTATCAGAGAAGCTAATTCACAAACAGTAAGAGGAACACTGCTGGTGAGTATATCCATCTCAGTGATACATAAATAATCATCACAGAAGCTCAAGCATTCTAGTTAACGATGTGTTTTGCTTATTGATGTTTGTATACTGTATATACAGATACCTTGTAGAACAGCCATGAGAGGAAGCTTCCCACTGAATGGAACATACTTTCAAGTGAATGAGGTAAATACTACCAAAACTGTGTAATTCTCCTATTTTCTGTGAATGACTACCACCCTGCAAAGTTGAAATCTGATTTAGAAACCTGCACATCCTATGTATGCTAGAATTTGAATTCATTAACTTCTCAATAAATGGTTATCAAGTGACTGCAATTACCTTGCAGATGTTTGCAGATCATGAATCTAGCCTAAACCCAATTGATGTTCCAAGATCATGGATATGGAATTTGCCAAGACGGATTGTCTACTTTGGAACCTCTGTATCATCAATATTTAAAGGTACAAGACAATATTTAGCGCATTGACAGCCCAACTAAATTACAAAAGAAAAGACTGGCTAATAAGAACTCATTATTTCTCTCAGGACTTTCAACAGAAGGAATTCAGTACTGCTTTTGGAGAGGTATCAATGCTGTTTTCAGTAGTTAATATAATCTTGACATAAGAAAGACATTGTGCCAGTCATGCTGGGACATTTGTTTAAATTCAAGTCTCATATATTTGACAAATTTCGCTTAGCTTGACTTTGTCAATCGGTGAAACTTTATTTGCAGGATTTGTTTGTGTGAGGGGGTTCGACCAGAAAACAAGAGCACCACGACCTCTTAAGGCCAGATTACACTTTCCAGCAAGTAGGTTGGTAAAGACAAAGAATGAGAAAAGATGATAAGCAGGAGAGCAGGATGCGAAGTTTAATAGCAATAGTTCTGACCAGCAGGACATAGCTAGCTTACTTTTTGATGAATATACATAGCTAGCTTAGTGAAGAAGAAAGATCCTTGACTAACATCCTGTTGTAGATTCAAGTGTTCTTCCTCTAACATGAGATGCATTGCAAGATTCAAGCTGGGCACAAATTTCAAATGAAGTGGTATGATAGCATCAGTAACGGGATGTAGCTGATGCTATCCCATTTACAGGATCCAAACCCAGCTGAAAGAATTCTCCACGTCAAATTGTAGAATAACATGGCTAGTGGAATTCAGTTGATTTCTTAGCTTTTATGATGCTTTTTTCTATTCATGCTCAAAACTGGGCCATTCTTCAAAAGCTAGTCAATGTGAGCAACGCTCCTCTGATCCAAATTGTTTCAATTCATGCTCGAAGCAAAGCTACTCTAAGAAATTAGTAAATAGCAGCAAATCTCACTCCCCCTCTCCCTCGCCTGATTTTTTTTCAAATCATGCTCAAAACAGCCACTATTCAATAACCAATTAGTATCAACCCCCCTTCCCCCAAAAAAATAACAAAAAGATGTTATATTAAATTAGCCTTTCAAAAACATACATAACTTATGAACATCCATCAATTAAGCACTTAGAGATTCTAGAATTTTCTGGTGCCAAATCTCCATTTTAAGACCCTTTTTCAATAAAAAATTTTGCTCCAAAACAAACAATTCATCAATTAATTAACAATGAACCTGATTCAACAAATTCTCCATCACTTGCTCAGAAAACAAAAATTAAAAAAAAAAAAAAAAAAGATTATAATCTATGTATACAGCTATCCATAGCTAAGCCAAACACAATTAATTCACTAGATGAACAAACCAGTACACCTACCTCAACAATTCATCTAATCAATCAACAACAAAGAAGCATTCCACAAACTGATCAAATTTCGAAAAAAAGAAAAAAGCAAAACCTAAACTATTGTTTTGCTTAGACACTTGATGATTTTAACTTCTCTTTGAGAAAAAAGAGTATATATTCAGAATTAAAACAACAAAAACACGAAGAAATCATACTCAATAATTTAAATTATGCTAGAACACTTAGCTTGATCAATTTCAGCACAGATAATTGAATCGCTTGTTTCTCTGCAACCAAACAAACACGCTCACAACTTCAAAAAACGTAAAATCAAGAACATCAACAAAAACAAATCGCAATCAAAAACAGATAAACAACAACAAAAACAGCAACAACAAACCGTGCTCGATAATTAAAATAATTCTAAAATCATAATTTCAAATCAATTACGCTTAAATTCTCAGCAACGCCCACTTGTTTTCGCCGTTTTTTTTTCCTGCAACAACAACAGGAACAAGAATTTGTCGCCCTCAGAAACAGAGACACAAAAAGCTAGGGTTTCGAATTAGAGAAATATGAGCCAACTCGAAGCTGCGTAACTGAGTCGTGAAATCGAGACACGGAAATGCTGTCTTTGAGTGAATAGCGGAGAGAGAGAGAGAGAGAGAGAGAGGCGGATTTGGAAAGAGAATTTAAAGGGATGGATTTTGGATTTTCTTATTATGTAATTGCTGGAAATGGATTTGATTTCCTTGCTGGTTCTTTTCTCAATTTGCCGCCTTTTTGTTTTCCTTTTCCCACTATCGGTGTTTTAAAAATTTTTGCTTTGGTTATGGACGGGATCCCCGGGCTTTTGAGAAACCGTGGTTTTATGTCGACACGTGTTCTGTTGATGCATGGTAAACTATATTTTCACCCTTGAGGATTCAGGAATGCTCTATTTTTAACCTTATAGTTTCAGACATTCTCGATAGCCCCCCTTATTTTTTTTTAATTATTAAGACACTACTTACTTTATCTCTTAAAGAGGAATGGTATCCGATTTGGTAAAAATCATATGTTAAAGGTAAAGTAAAATTAACTAGTTGACCAGTATTTGACAATTCCTGTAAAATTTGTGTGGTAGTTTGAAAGGTCTTGATATGATGATTGTTATTCTTGTAACATATCCAATTATGTGGATATATTAAAAGAAAAAAAGTTAAAAATACAAATGAGAGATGAACTAAAATATACAAATTACAAAGTGTTTTTTAGTTTGTGTAATTTGTTTGACATGATTTAGAGTAATCCACTAAATAGGTTGAAGGTACGTGATTTAAAAATTATTAAAATAATATAGAGAAACTTTATATTCAATCTTCTTAAAATAAATAGCCAATCAATTAATAATTATTTTTTTTATATACAATTTAATTTTAATAGCACTTGTATTATAGGATAAATCATCCATCTCTCTTGATATTGATTCAGTTTTAATAAAAATTTATAAAATATGTGTTGATGACTACATACATTTATAAAAATCTTATCTTGATTATATTTTTTAAGTCAGTATAATAATATAAAAATCAAAGATTGTTGCACGTTTGACATTTGACAAATACAAATATCTATTCTATTATTGAAAACAAACTCGGTGATTAACTTTGCTATTTTATCATAATAATATAATAACAATCATAGATCAATATTTAAATTTTTACTGTACAAATACTATCATATATAAAATTTAATTTATCCTCGTGAAATTCATAGATTATTGTTGATCGATATTTTAGATCGTTTATAAACGTATAACATGACAACTAATTTCAATTTATCTTGTGAAATTTTTAGAAATCAATTAATCTCATATATTTTCAATATTATATTTTTAAGTTTTTTATTCGATCAATTTTCTTTTATAAAACTACTAAACCCGACAATATATCATTTTTTATATGTTTCAATTGACTTTATAAATACTCATTCTATAGCACACACAAACCAACAATTAACATAGTCACCAAACTAAGAATTGAACATGACACAAATGAAAGTCATGTAAAAACTATCTTGTAATAATCTATTACCGACGATAGGTGTTTTTTTTTTTTAAAGGTTGTAATTGATATAAAGAATGTCATAACGTTAGTTTTGTTAGCTTTAAAGATGAAATAGATGTGAAAAAGTCGAGAATGCAAAAACTGACGGGGTTAGCATCTAAATCAAACCTTTTGGGATCATTTTGGCATCCCCGTAGACTTACGGCGGGGAAGTAGAAATTTACCCTAACATCACTTTAAGTCCATCATAGAAAGAATAAGAAACGACACCGTTCAAGGTCTGGAACGCTAGCCTGCCCTTATTCTTCTCCTTCGGCTTCACCCTCGCCATCTAACTCCCATCTGTTCCATTCAAGCAAGAGAAAGACGGAGAGAAATAAATAATTATCAATAGGTCGAATTCCAACTCCCCCAATCTCTTGAAATTTTCTGTTTTTTTGTCTCTACATTAAAGGTACCTGTTTATTTATTTGTTTTTTTTTTTCAAAATAAAATGCTACCACTGCTAAGATTTTTTTGTTTCAGCTGATTTTTTTTTTTTTTTGCATCTTAGTATAATAAATCGAAGCAAGTACTCCTTCTTCTTCCTACTCCTTTTGTTTCGGCTTCAAAGTCAACTGGGGTTTGGGTAGGATTTTTGATGGTTTTTGATCAATCTTATTAGCTTCTTCCATAGTTGCTGGGATGAGTTCTACTCTGCTTCCTAAACATGTGGCAGCTGTTTTGAAGCACCAAAAGGATCCTTTGAAAGCCCTTGAAATGTTCAACAAAGTAAAAAAAGAAGATGGGTTCAAGCACACTTTTTTAACTTACAAGTGCATTATCCAACAACTTGGGTTTCACGGGAAGTTTGAGGCCATGGAGGATGTGCTTGTGGAGATGAGGATGAATATCGATAACAGTATGCTCGAAGGAGTGTATATTGGAGCTATGAAAAGTTATGGAAGGAAAGGGAAGGTTCAAGAGGCTGTTGATGTGTTTGAAAGAATGGATTTTTATAATTGTGAGCAGACTGTTTTATCTTATAATACAATCATGAATATACTGGTGGAATTTGGGTATTTCAAGCAAGCTCATAAGGTGTATTTGAGAATGAAGTATACGGGGATTGTTCCTGATGTTTATTCATTTACTATTAGGATCAAGTCGTTTTGTAGGACCAAACGTCCTCATGCTGCTTTAAGGCTTCTTAATAACATGGCTTCTCAAGGGTGTCAGCTTAATGCAGTTGCCCATTGTACTGTTGTTGCTGGGTTTTATGAAGAAAATTACCGATTTGAGGCGTATGAATTGTTTAATGATATGTTGAGAATAGGCATTTTTCCTGATGTTTCTACTTTCAATAAGCTTATACATACTCTTTGTAAGAAGGGGAGGTCCAAGAAAGCGAAAAACTTTTCAACAAGGTGCTGAAGAAGGGTATGAGCTCAAATTTGTTTACGTTTAATATTTTCATCCAAGGGCTTTGCAGAAAGGGTGTGCTTAATGGGGCTAAGAGTTTGTTGGATAGTGTGATTAGAGAAGGCCTAACTCCTGATGTTGTCTCGTATAACACATTAATTTGTGGATTGTGTAAAAACTCTGATGTTGTAGAAGCTGAGAAGTATCTTCACAAACTGGTGAATGATGGTTTAGAGCCTGATGGGTTCACTTACAACACTATAATTGATGGATATTGCAAAATGGGTATGATACAAAATGCTGAGAAGATTCTTCAAGGTGCAATTTTCAAGGGGTTTGTGCCTGATGAGTTCACATATTGCTCCCTAATTAATGGGTTATGCCAGAATGATGAAATAGACCGTGCCTTGGCTCTTTTTAACGTGGCATTGACAAAAGGATTGAAGCCTACTGTCATCCTATACAACATGTTAATTAAAGGGTTGTGTCAGCAAGGACTTATTTTGCAAGCTTTGCAGATGATGAACGAGATGTCAGAAAATGGTTACGGTCCTGATATATGGACTTACAATTTAGTTATTAATGGATTGTGCAAGATGGGTTGTGTCTCTGATGCCAATAACCTAATGAATGATGCTATCGCCAAAGGATATATTCCTGATGTTTTTACGTTCAATACATTGATTGATGGCTACTGTAAACAGTCAAAAATGGAAACAACAATTCAGATTCTAAATAAAATGTGGAGCCATGGTGTTACTCCTGACGTGATTACATATAACTCTGTGTTGAATGGCCTCTGCAAGGCTGCAAAGACTGAAGATTTGATGGAAGCTTTCAAAATGATGGTGGAGAAAGGGTGTGTCCCTAACAAAATCACATATAATATACTCACCGAGAGCCTCTGTAAAGGTGGGAAAGTAAATGAGGCTTTGGACTTGGTTGATGAAATAGTAAACAAAGGCATCACACCAGATACTGTTAGTTTTGCTACAGTCATCAGCGGGTTTCACAATCGTGGGGATTTGAAAGGAGCTTACCAGCTTTTTAGAAGAATGGAAGAACAATATAAGGTCTCCCATACAACAGCAACGTACAACGTAATGATCAGTGCTTTTGCTGAGAAGCTAGATCTTCAAATGGCAGAAAAGCTTTTTCTCGAGATGGGTGCTGCAGGCTGTGCCCCAGACACATACACTTATCGTGTTATGATTGATGGCTTCTGCATAATGGGAAACACTGATTTTGGATACAATTATCTACTGGAAATGATTGAGAAAGGGTTCATTCCATCGCTGACCACGTTTGGGCGAGTAATAAACTGCCTTTGCGTGCAGCACAGAATTCATGAGGCAGTTGATATTATCCATCTTATGGTGCGCAATGGTATTGTCCCTGAGGTTGTGAATACCATATCAGAGGCTGATAAGAAGGTTGTTGCAGCACCTAAAATAGTTGTGGAAGACTTGTTGAAGAGAAGCTGCATAACTTACTATGCCTACGAACTTTTGTATGATGGCATTAGAGATAAAAAGATCCCAAAGCAGAAACTTCCAAATAGGCACTAACGTAATGGAGGAAGGCATTCGCATATGTTGACAGAATTTCTTCACTGGAAGTGGAAATGTGAAAGAAGTTATTCCAACAAAAAGAAAAGAAGGTACTGTTTGCTCAACTTCTCTTTTTGTTGAAAATGAAAAAAAAAAATATTTTGTATTGTGTGTCTCCATCTCATCAATGAATTTTATCATTTTTACATATTACAGAGGCAAGCTAGATTAATTGAAAAACTCAAACCACGAAGTTTCTGGTTGTTTATTTGTTACTGGCCAGCAGCAATATTATTTCTGAACTACAGAAGCCTCTTCATCCTAAAACTAGACACAGACTGTATTTCGGTTCTGAAAGTTGTCTGTACAATATTCGATGATACGACACAGAGGTGAAAATTTCAATTTTTTATTACAATTTTCAATTCCTTAATCATGCATTGCATGTGAGAGTCACTTTTCTTCATTTTCTTTGCAGCCGAACAGAGCTGCGAAGCCTAATTTGCTGGAGATTCAAATTTTCTTAACTGTTGGCATTTCTGGCACCTCTCAAAATCAGGTTCTCTCTCTGGATTTTCTAGCAATTCACTTGATTGTGTTTCACTGATTTATCTATTTTATTTCTGCTTCCTGATCAGGTTAGTTTGATTTAGAGGCCACTTTGAAATTTTAGATTTAAATGTGAGTGAATAAAACCTAAATCTCTCTTTCAAATTTCAATGGCAGTCCTAGTTCTCTGTTAGAAAATTAATTTGATGGAAATTGACAAGATTTCAGTGACAGTGTTGCACCTCTTGTGAGATTTGTTCATGGAGGAGAGTTTGATAGCCTTGTGACCTCATAGTATGTATAGATACTTGTACCAAGTAGTGTTGCAATTACTTTTGCTGTCATTTTACGCAGAATGTTAAATTCTGTCTTCTTTTTTAGTTTTAGACATTCAAAAAATCTGAAATTCGCAATTTTACTTGTTAATTGATTAATTAATTATCTGCCTTCTGCGACGCATGTTGAGAAATGTAGAACCTTGAAAATTTAGTTGATTGACTCTTCTTCTCCCATCCGAAGCCACCTAGGGTTGAGCACAGGATGGTACCGGTGGAAGACAGTGAAAGGGATTGGGCATGACCCTAATGATGGAGGCGCCAAGGGCATGCGTAGAGGCCGTGGCAGAAGTGATTCAGGTGGAAAGATTGGTTGAAACATAGGTAAGAATTAATTGGAGTAATGAAAAAGAAAACACAGTCATGTTTGCAAATGGATATGTTATATTGCCACCAGTTTCCAGTTGCTGTATCTGAAGTAAAAACATCTTTGTACAAAACCACCACTATCTTTTCTGTCCTCACGACTGATTGGAACTATGGTCTTGTTGCTCCTCAGATGCATCCCATTCTTAATTCGAACCATAGCATGCTCACCATTTTGCGTTTCTGTGACAGGGGCAAGGTGAGGCCGGGGCTAATGTGGGTGATGGTATCAGCTGCTTAGAGCAATTTTGCTACTTTGGTTGGATCAAACGGGACCTGTAAACGGATCCTTTTGTGTGGGCGGCCTGATTTCCCTATTGAACCAGCTGCCTACAAACCAATTTAGAGCAGCAGCATGAGTTCTGATAATCTGAACTTTCTTAGCAGAAAATTATTTCGGTTTAACTCCTGTCCTCGGTTGCAATGTCAGGGAATTATTATCAGAATTCAGAAACATATGGGCGTTTTATTTAATATTTGGGTTAATAGCTCAATTTATCTTGATATCCATAATTGAGTCAGTTTTGTTCTTGAATATAATCTACTTTTCTAATATAGTATTTTGTCAAGATTTTTAGACCAAAACACATGAATTATTCACACGATTTGTACATGAGTAATTTTTATTTTCAAATCATCTTTACCAATCAGTCAAATAAAAGATTTTTATATGCAAATTGTATGACTATTTTTGATATTTTATCTTGAAAATTTTGTCAAAAATATAGATTAAACACTTAAAATATATTCAAGAATTAAATTCATTTAATTAAGAAAATAAGGATAGATTAGATAATTATTTTGTTAAACAACGATATATTGAGCCATTAACACATAATTTTTTTTTTTTGGGGGGGTTGATATGTTATTTATGCTTTCTAGTTAACCTGCTTAGGAAAACAAAACAAATAAATAATAAACGACATCGTATAAGAAGTCAAAAAGAATTTGAAGAATCTGCTCCCATTCCCTTCCAGGGTATTTTTGTCCGAAATGAGAAGGAATAGCTTTCCTGCGACTTTTCCATCCTTCTATTTTCCCTTCCTTTCCCTTCCTTTCACTCCCTTCTCTTCTTCTATAGCCAAACTCCATGGCTCTTGACATAAAAAGCTTCGAAACCATAATTTCCTCTCGTTTCCTCTCCTTCACAATCCCCAGCCCCACACTTGCCACTCACCTCCTCCGAGTCGCAGTCCTCGACTCACCAATCCAACTCACTGACTCACCTCAAGTCGCAGCTCTCTTTGTCCCGCAAGCCCGTGAACCAGACTGGATTTTCTCCACCGAGTCAGGTCACCTCCAGCTCCTCTTATCCTCTCCTGGGATCTCACGGCTCATATTGATCGGCAACAATCCAATCGACGGCTCTGATTCACCTCCATTGACTTACCACAAAAGGGACGATGACCAGTATGTGAAAAGTCTTGAAAATAGTTTAAAGCCTTTGTTTTTCGCTTTATCTCCCAAAGTTTGTGTTAAAGATGGGATTTTTAATGTGCCCATTTTGGATTATGAAGATAATTTGATTTGTAGTGTGGTTTTAGAGAGACGTGTTGGTGTTTTTGTCGGTGAAATGCTTGTTGAGGATGTTGAGATTGAAAGTGATAGTGAATTGAGAGATTTCAGGAGGAGATTGAGGTTTAAAAGAATGCCAAATTTGGTACAGACAGAGATTCGAATTGTGCCCGAGAAGGGTTTTGGGTTAGATTGTGTTAAGATTGGTGGAGAAGTGAAGTTTACGCCTGAGACTAAGGTTCTGGTGCATTCATATTTGATTCCGATGGCGGCTAGTCTTTCTTTGATTGGTTCTTGTATTGAGGATCGGGTTCAAAATGGATTAAAGCCTAAAGCTTTGTGTTTAGGTGTTGGTGGTGGAGCTTTACTTGGTTTTCTGAAAACTCAGTTGGGGTTTGAAGTTTTTGGTGTGGAAATGGATGAGGAGGTTTTGAGGGTTGCGAGGCAGTATTTTGGTTTGGAAGATTGCGAAATTCAGGTTTGTGTTGGGGATGCTATAGAATATGTAGAGAAGCTCGGGGGTAAAGATAGGGTGCCGAATTTGGTTTCAGGTGAAGTTAATGTTGATTGTTATTTAGATAATGCGAATGGTTTTGATACTAAGTTTGATGTCATTATGGTCGATTTAGATTCTTGTGATGCTAGAAATGGTATCATTGCTCCGCCATCGGAATTTGTCAAGAAGCACATTCTTTTGGCTGCCCGGTCTATTCTTAGTGATTTCGGGATTTTGGTCATGAATGTGATTTCTGCAACTGGATTGTTATATGATACATTGATACATGAGTTTCAGGAGATTTTTCCTGAGTTGTACGAAATCGATGTTGGAAATGGAGAGAATTTTGTTCTTATTGCTAAAGTCTCGCCTGTATTATCTCCTCTTAGCGAATGTGAGAATAGTTTTCTTCGGAACCTGAGGATAGCGATTTCAGGAAAATACTTAGATTCCATAAGGAAAATTTAAGGCCTGATGGTTTATACAGGACGGTGGCTTTTCTGATGATTTTTTTTTTTTTTGAACTTGAAGTCAAATCATTCCAGGGAAGTTTCAAGAATTTTCTAAAGAATCCCATCTTGAGGAGAAGGTTTTGCAATCCATGTATCTCTAATCGGGTTTAGTTTGCAGGAAACTGAACTGTTGTCTTGTTTGTAAGTACTTTTTTTATGATCTCCTTCGCTGCTAGTTCTGAAGTTCTAGGTTTCCGAAAAATGACAAATAAAAAAAAATTTTGCTTCATATGATTTGAATGGTTTGGACATATGCAATTGTTAGCTATGCTTTATTTTGCTTTAAGATGAGAAACTATAAGAATGAGATTGTAAAGTACAAATTTTTTTGAAGTTTATAATGAACAGGGTACTATGCAGGCCAAAGTTTTCTTGCATCTCTGTTGATTTGCCATCAGCTTTAGGGTATTTACCTTTCTTAGCCTAGCAATGTGAAGCAAGAACCAATTGATTTGAGTTTAGCTAGTCCTGCCATTGTTATGAAGTTCAAAAGACATTCTACACCTCATTGAAATAATTTACTTCATCTTGTTTTTCTTGGTATGCTTAGTCAAAAGGTACTGTGAAATTTTTAGTATTGTATGAGGGGGTTTGTGGTTATTGGTTACTCTGATTAGATTAACATTACATTTCAAAGTTTCAATGGTCGAAGTCTCTCGTTAAAGTATCAATATAGAGGCCTGAAATCCTTGTTTTGAATCTACTGAAACCTTTTAAGCTGCTGTGAGCTCAAAGCATGTCCCTTCTGCTTGATGAACTGTATAAAACATTAAAACAGTTGGGGTATGTGCTGTTTCTGGAGCTTTAAATGGCATGCTTTCATTATGGCTATCAGAGTTACTGCTGAGTATATGGAAACCTACAAGCATTGCTCGAGTCCTCAACTCATTGAATGTTGTTATGATAAATATTTCTCTCTACTACCCCTGGTTTAATTTGCTATTACTATTGCTTGTCTAACCCGTGGATCTTTGATGGTTTAGGGCTGATCTCGATAAGAGTTGAGCAGAGAAACAATTTCTGGAGGAAGAGCGCAGAAGGACATGGAGAAATCCACTGGATAATCTGTTGTTTCGAGCAGTGGTAAAGAACAAGGCCCAGAATTGTTTTAACAAGAGTAAGAAATAGCACAAGATAATAATAACAGTAAAAAACCATGAGACCATCTAAATTACGAAACCACAGATACAATGTCTTGCTTTTGAAAATTCAAACTGAAGGCATAAAGCCAATTATCCACTGCTAAGGAGAGCATGAAATTGCTGAGATCCATAAGAACTCTGCAATTTTTTATTGGCATGACAGAGAGAGAAAATGAAGCTATACTTCTTCGTTGTGGAGGTGGAAAGAAAATTTCTTCTCTCGTTCTCTTGGATCGGAAAAGGTGCTCAACATCAGGAGATACTTTCAAAGATGCCTGGATCAGCCGAGGAGATAAAGCCTTCCACACAGAAGTCCTTCCAGCCAAATGAGTGAATATAGTGCTAAAATAAACAAAAGATAAAAAAAAGTAACTTGGAATTTAGATACGTTTTCGTTCAAAATGTGAAAGATCAAAGAAAAATTTACTTAGGAGTGGTGACGATGGAGAACCAAGACATTCCATCAGGAGCAAATATTTCAAACAACACAGAAACTAGGAACAATGAACAAATGGGTTGAAATTTATCTCATGATTTCGTATTATCTAATCCTTTTGTTTTAAGTATGGTATAAAATAAATCATATATTATTGAACTGTAGAATAAATTAGTCGTTTCATCCAATTTTTGATTAATTACATAATGATACATGGTTAACAAAAGTAATCATATGATGACCTGATTAATAAAGGTAGAACAAATTAGTCAATTTTATCCAATTTTTGATCAATTATTTAATGCCTCATGGTTAACAAAAGTAGTCATGTAATGACGTGATTAACAAAAGTATATGGAAAGGCTTGTTTATTTTAATATTTAATATCAGGGAGTTTGTTTTGTATGATGTCTCGGCAGAAGAGTTAAAATAGACTACATTAGTTGTTTGCTTGCGCTACGCTACGGATCCAAGTAAAATAAAATTATTTTAAAATTTTTTAATTATAATATTTATTTAACTAATTTTTTATAATGTTTTTATAAATTTTCTGTTTAAAAAAACATAAATCATTCTTCTTTACATATTGATTTTAAAATTAAAAATTGTAATGATTTTAACTAAAATATTAATCAAGAATTGAAAAAAAATTTAAAATATAATTTTTAAAATATTGTATTTCAAAAAATAAAGTTATAATTAATAAACAGGTTTTTTAAAAAAATTAACAAATGAAAAAAAAATTCTTATTTAATACCGATGAGAAGATTAATTTTTGAAATTATGCGCACAATGCTAAAGATAAATAGAACAAAATCATTTCAAAATGTTATAATTTTTTCATTAATTTTTTTATTTAATTATCACTCTTTTTTGTGTGTTCTTCATAAAATTTTTGCTTAAAAAATATGATTCATTCTTCGTTATTTAGGGATTCTTAAATAAAAACTAGTAACAATTTAAACTAGAAATATTAATTAAGAATTCAAAAACAAGTACTTTAAAATTATATATTTTTTTTATAAGAATGTATCTAAAAAATAAAGTTACAATTAATGTATAGACTTGCATAAAAATTAATCAATGAAAAAATAAAATTTTATTTTTATTTAATGTTAGTGAGAAGATTTTTTTTTTTCAAATATATGCATTTGATTTATATGTATTTATTTACAAAATAATCAATACAATTAGCATAAAAAACAGTATTTGAAGAATTGGTTGGTTCCTTTAAAAAATTATTTTAATTATTTTATTCCAAATAAATTAGTTCTATAATGTTAAAAAAAATATTTATAGTAAATAATTTGTATTATGTTGGAAGATGTATAATTAATTTTTAATAAAATCAACAATTCGATAATTTTTTTATATGCATTGACCATATCTAGTGAATCGAGATAAATTATTTGAAATATAGTTTTTAGGGATCAAAATAAAACAACTTGAAAATTATTTATTAAAAAAAAAAGAAAGGAAAAAAAGCCTAAGCTACGGTACAGTAAATCACTGTTCAAACGAACAGTAAATTACTGTTATTTTATCTCAAATGTTTTAGTTTTTTAGGTAATTGGATAGTAGAAAGATGAATTTCATTCTGAAAAAATGACCTGCCTTGACAGGAGTTTTCAAGATACTACGACCATCAACGGCGACAACCTGAACAGTACCCCTGCCCCCAGACGTTGCATGTTGCCTGTAATGCTGAGTCACAAGAAAAATCAGGAGAGAGCCCATAGCACTTGCTTCCAGTCTAACTATAGATCAGCACCAAGCCCAACTTCAGCAACCAAAGGAAGGTTCTTAGTATCCTAAACAACAGCCTCTCCACCATCCTTAAGAAACTCAGAGGCCTAGGAAGGTAATTTCCTTCCTAATTTATAATTTAAAGTATTTTAATTTGAATATAATGATTTTTTTTCTTTTCGAAAAATAGCCAGTCTGTTCTTATAAAATTCTCAATGGAGATATTATCTCTATAAAATATTTGAGTTTTCGATCACTTTATAAAGATATAAAATATATTAAAAATCTATTCCATCATAAAAAAAACAAAATAAGTCCCTTTCCCTTTTCTTTTCTTAATCAAACAAGAACACGGATGAGTTAACATCCATTTTTTTTCTTCTTCATGACAAAGATAATATTGATGATGATCATGGTCCATGTTTCTCTTCCCACTAATATATATTAATGTTGAGGGTGGGACCCAAAAAAAAAAAAAAAAAAGAAAGAAAGAAAAGGATTGAAAGTCAAGGAATTAGGAAGGACTTTTTTTTTCAGATTAATAAAGTGATTAAATAATTAACCTTCTTGTAAAGCAAATTTCCCTCTCATCGGTGTGAATAGAAAGAAAAAGTGTAGAAAAAAAATAATTCTGAAATAAAAAATCCTATTACCGTTAAAATCAAAAGCAGAAAGAATAACTAAAAACATTCACGTCAAGTTTCAACCGTACTTAACGACAACCGATTTAAACCACAGCAACCAATCAAATCACCGAAAAAGTGACATGGAACAGCCAACGACCAATCACCAACATTTAACAATCCAATTTCATCGTACATCTGCCTACAGCAGACAAAACCCCAGTCATTCACTGAACTTGGCAGAATCCTATAGTATTCAAACTGGACCCCACTTAACGCCCACCGAACAAAAGAAAAGAAATTCCCTCTCCTTTCCTTTCGGCACTCCCCTTCCATTCCTTCTTCCTTTTCGTTTACTGATTTCTTTCCGTTCCAAGCTAAGCTAAAAATAAATGCCAGAAAATCATTTCCACTTCTAGCAATTCACTGTTTCTTATTCGATGTTGCACTTCGAATACGGTAATTTCAAGTTCAAGTGGAATTGAATTCGTTTTGTAATTGAGAATTGGGAGTTTGTTTTGGTTGGAATTGATGGAGGAGTTTGGTAGTTGGTGTGGAGAAGCGACGATTAAGAGCTGGGCTAAGCAAACGGAAGAGAGTTATCAGTTACAGCTTGCTCTTGCTTTGAGGTTATCTTCACAGGCTGCTTTAGCTAATGATCCCAATTTCTTGGATTTGAATTCTAATGCTAGTAAAAAAGGAGCTCCTTCTTTCTCTGATTCTCCCGAATCCCTCTCTCATCGATTTTGGGTACTTTTTATCCGTTTGATTTTGCTCCTTTTTTTATTTGTTTGTATAGTTTTCTTGGGCGTAAGCTGGCTCGAGGATATCAGCTGACTTTTTTAATTTAGTAATGCTAATTTTACAGTAAAATTCTTCGAAAAATCTCAGCCATTGAAATGGGCCCCACAAATTCAATTGTTGAGATGAATTTCTTTGGAAGTGATTTGGAGAAAGATTTTGTTAGCGTGATGTTTGAGAATATTTTATTTTGTTTGAAATGGTGTATGATTTTATTTTATTTTTTTAGGGTATATGTGCTGGTTTTGATGATGGTTTTTTTTTTTTTTGGGTTTTATTTGTAGCAGGTGAATGGATGTTTGTCATATTATGATAGAATTCCAGATGGGTTTTATGTAATACATGGATTGGATCCTTATACATGGAGTATAAGTTCTGATGGTCGTATACCGTCTTTTGAATCATTAAAGGCTGTTAATGATTTGTCAATAGGAGTGGTTTTAGTAGATAGATTCAGGGATCCTGGTTTGAGGGAGTTGCATAATAGAGTTATTGGTCTTTGGAGTAGCTCGAGTACAACAAAAGATGTGGTTGAGCAGCTTGCGAATCTTGTTTGTAATCGAATGGGGTGAGTTCTTGAGTTATGATCAGTTTTGGGTTTTTGGTGTGAATTTTTTGTGTTAGAATGCTCTGAACAGGGTTTTTCTTGTCTCAGGGGTGTGATCTTCGATGAAGATGATGATGCTTTTGCCGAATGCTGGAAGGAAAACACTGAAGCTATGAAAAGGCGCTTAGGTTCAGTTGTAATTCCGATTGGAAACTTATCTATTGGCCTATGTGTCCATCGTGCATTACTGTTTAAAGTAAATCTCACAACTTTGTTATTGTTCTTTGCATTCTGCAGCTTTTTAATGTTGTCCATGTTTTTACCAAATGCATATTATTTGTATGTCTAACGGAAAAATGTAACCTAGTGGTTGTATATATTTTCATTTAATTATTGGATGTATTTATCTCTTCCAAACTATAAATGTCTCTATTGACATCTCTTGAATTGTAAATTTTCATAGGTATTGGCAGACTCGATTAACTTGCCTTGCAGAATTGTTAAAGGATGTAAATACTGCAGAAGAGATGTCATTTCATCCTGTCTTGTGCAAGTTGGCAATGACAGGTATGCAGTTTCAACCATATATTTATTTGAATTTCAGTATATAGGAGTCCGGAATTATGTAGAGCAACAAGAGCTTTGAATTATGGGTAAATCAAAATTTTGAGATTAGTATATATATTGGCATTTTTAGGGTATGTAGTGCAGACCGGTAAGTGAAGAGTGGGAGAGGATAAGTGAATCTTGGATTGCTGTAGGTTTCATCCAGGTTTCACATTGGACCTCTTTGAACTTTCATTTAGGGCTTTAGGCAATTAGCTATAGAGTCATCCAGTTGAGCTTGAGCCATTTTTACTTTCCTTGCCTTGTCATCTGAATTTGTCCAAGTGAATTATTTCTTAATTTATCATTGATTTGTGCCTGGGGAAAATGAATTAATGGAGCCCCTTGCTTTCACAGCAACTTTTCTCTTAAAGAAAGTAGCAGGAAAAACCTGAGCACCCTGAAATTTTGCACATGAATTCTACTGCTTTAGCATCTCCCACATCATATTGGTGGGGTGGATCATTTTGCTTGGATACTTGAGGAAACATTACTTATCTGGGTTGAACTGCAATGAATACAAAAACAACAAGATTGCTTCTCCCTGATACTTGGCACACCCAGAGCCTACATTAGACCAGCTATTGATGACTTAGCTAAAATGGTGCAATCCGCATAATCATAGATGACAATTCACCATTTGACTATACTTTTGTCTGGATGACCATTCACCATTTACCTATCTTTTGTCTGGATGGTGGAATGGCTTTCTTTAGAGGGGTTTTTGAGGGTGAAGTTCTAATTCCACTAGCATTCAATTTTTTTCCATTCAGAAAGTTAAGCAAAGTTGCTTGAGTAATTACTGCTCTGAGATGGCATGAGAATCAATGATGCTTGCTTTTGCTTTTCAAGATCAGTTCTTTTAAGTTGTGAGTACACTTTTTGAAGGTTGAATGACTGACCTATCTTGGGAATTACTATAGGATTTTTTCTTTTACGGTAGGTCTATTCTCTATAATTGTTTAAATGAAAGGTCCGTGGAGTGGTTGATCTTTGAATTAATTTCATATTCCTCAGGGAATACTTTGTTGATTTGCTTGGAAAACCAGGAGCCCTAAGCCAGCCTGATTCCTCACTCAATTGTACATCTTCAATCTTAGTTTCTACTCCATTGTCTCATCCAAGGTTTAAACCTATCCAATCGACTGACGAATTCAGGAAATTTGCCAAACTCTATTTCCTTGACAGCCAGCCTCTTAATCTTGTATTTGATAATTCATCTTCAGGTGATTTCCCTATCTACTTCATGCATGTATTGCTATAATATTTTAAAAAACATGATTGATTGCTTTGGCATTTGTTTGTCATAATCAATTGAGATGAGGAGCAACTTATGCATCATTTACAATATCTGTTTACCATATTCCTCAACAAACCCTATACATTTTTATAATTTTTTGAGATGCCTGCTTTCCCTGTGCCTTCAAATTGTAATTCTAGTTATCTCGTAGTATCTGTAGAACCATATTTATTCTATGTTACTCTGATCATTTGCAAATTGCAGTTTGAAGTAAACTAAAGAATAAATTCATCTCTTGTGATCAAACTTTATTCGACTGTAATGATATTTAAATAAATGTAAATATTTGTTAAAAAAAGGCTAAAATATGCTGATTGTAAGGCTCAATATGGTTTATTACAGCACATGTGATGTGTCTGATCGTGACTGTCAGTCTGACCTGCCAAAGAGAATGCTAGAAAGACAGGTTATGCTTGTAAATGGCACTTAAAGGCCTGGCATTCACTGAAGCGATTTGTTATTGACATTTATGAAGCCTTTGATTTTCAGGTGGTACTATTGATAAAGATGAAAAAATTATTTCAAGGCATGGTAAAGACAAGAAGAACCTTCTACCCCCTTCAAGCAACAACCATGAAGCTTCTCCGTCACCTCTGCACCAAGCAACAACCATGAACTTGCGGGTCCCAAACTCATACCTGGGCAAGGGTTCCAATGCGCCAAGCTCTGTCCTACCAGTTAGGCAAAAATTTACAGATCCAGTCATCTCTAATCCCAAGCCTGTTGGTACAAGTAATTTTTCGTTGGTGGAAATAAACCAGTCAATGGTAAGTAAATCGAGCAATCAACTCCATCTTGAAGAGGAAGATTTGGATGTTCCCTGGAGTGAACTTCTTTTGAAGAAGAAAATTGGATCAGGTATTATTTCATTTGAACTTTTGGAGGAGTTCACAACTGCATGCTATGTTGTTTCACCTTCACACATCCAATGCATTTATTTTGTGGATTTTTTGAGATTGCATTCATGAAGGATACTTTCAAATGCTTCTCAGGCTCCTTTGGAACTGTCTATCATGCTGACTGGCGTGGTTCGGTAAGCATTTCTTTCTTTTATCCCATCATCATAGGCATTTTGTTTTGTTTACCAGCCCTTCAGTTTTGACACTATAATGAATTTGTTGTTTAAGTTTTGCATCTTTACGTTAATGCGTTTGATCTTCATTAGTACTGAAAATATCAATTTTCAGGATGTTGCTGTCAAAATTCTAGAGGAGCAAGACTTTCATGCAGAGCGTTTTGAGGAATTTTTGAGTGAGGTGCCTATACCGCACTTTCTAGGAACTCGTATTGACTCTGTAGTTTTTTGAGGGTTGAGTTTAATTAATTGCATTGATTTTGTTTGTCAGGTTGCTATCATGAAACGTTTGCGACATCCTAATATTGTTCTCTTTATGGGTGCTGTTACCCAGCCCCCCAACTTATCCATAGTTATGGAGTATTTATCAAGGTATTAAGATTCTTTGTGGTGATTTGGCAGATAGTTTTCTAAGAAATCAACTCTGTATTAAAATGAAAGATTTGCTTTGGACCGCAGAGGCAGCTTGCACAAACTTTTGCATATGCCTGATGCTGCCTTGCTACTGGATGAGAGGCGCCGCTTAAATATGGCATATGATGTGGTATGCTTTTTTGTTTTTGGCTAATATTTATTTTTCTAAACAAATAGATAATCAATGGAACAAATGCTGGCTAAAAGTTGGAACCTTAATAACATCATCTAGAAGTGATTACAAAATTTCCTGGATTTAGGAATTGTTCATTTCTTTGTACAGGCTAAAGGAATGAACTATCTTCATCAGTTTAGACCTCCCATTGTTCATCGAGATTTAAAATCTCTAAATCTCTTAGTGGACAATTCATACACGGTGAAGGTTAGTATTCCAAAACACTGATATTTGGATAGCCATTTTTATTTGCTAAATGTTTTTCTCTTTTCTATAATATGCTTAGAAACTTTCTGCTCTGCTTAAAACCTTAATCTTGAACCCAAAAGTATTTTTTTCTTCTCACATCTCTCAGTTCTTTTTTGGTCCTAAAGTTGCAGAGGTCAAATCTCCCATTGACAAAGGTCTGCAACAGCTATTCTCATTGTTGATTCCTCCCCTGATTATTAGCATATAATGCTGAAGTTTTTAATTAATTTTGAGAACAGAAATAGGATAACTTGATGACCTAAGTATCCTCTTATATCCTTAAGAAATAATAAAGATCAAGGTAGTCTCATGACATTTTGTCAGTGGGAATGTTCATTCACATATTATGGATGAGGAGACTAACATTGTTCTTTCTTGGAAAATGTTTATCCAGATTTGTGATTTTGGTCTCTCCCGTTCAAAAGCGAAGACATATATTTCATCAACAAATGCTGCGGGTACTGTAAGTGCTACTTTGGACTCAACAAGTTGTCACATGTACTTTCTTGTATTGTATGTTATACAAAGGAAGCATGGATTGGATTACAAACTTAAGTTTACCATTCTGGCTCCTCTTCTTTTAGCCGGAGTGGATGGCCCCCGAAGTACTCCGTAATGAGCGATCAAATGAGAAATCAGATGTTTACAGCTTTGGTGTAATCTTGTGGGAACTTATGACCCTGCAACAGCCATGGAGAAATTTAAAACAAGCACAGGTAAATTGCATTAGTATGCTTCATTTCGCAAATTGTTACCAAATTCATACACAATTCAAGAAAATATAGAATTGGTTTCTCTTCATCAATTAATTTTGTGAACTTGAGAATGGATGTGAGATCTCCCAAGGGAAATGCTTTTGTAACTAGAATTATTGTAGTTGTCGGGAAATGGATACTAAATACACATGGTTCTGCTTTATACAGAACACATTATGTTAAATGAGTGCTGTATATTTTGTTGCAGATCATTGCAGCTGTTGGTTTTATGGGCGAAAGGCTTGAAATTCCAAGCTATGTAAATCCTTCTGTGGCTGCCTTGATTGATGTCTGCTTGGATAAGTAAGTGGGACATTCATAAGTAGACCAACTTCCAAAGAGAGTTTATGGACTAATTTTATCTCTCAAATTTGAAATTCGTCGATCTTCAAGAAACCCTACTCAGGAGAAGGAACTAAGTAATATACAGGGCATGCTTTTAATCTTTCTTCCTTTTACTGCAGCGAGCCCTCAAACCGTCCTTCATTCTCGTATATCATGGAAACTTTACAGGAGCTGATAGATAACTCCATCTTCCAACCAGTTGCTTCTCGCGTTCGATGACAGATCTATAAGAGGGGAACCCCTGGTAAAATATTTATTAATATGCAACGTGCCATTCATTTGATGCTCATCTTGTACATATTTCAAGTGTTCCTGTCATCATATATAGCTTTTGAATCAAGTGAAATTTTCTATGATATCTTTGTTGGAATATTTATAGCTTCGATGCATGGTTTTATACTGTTATCGTCAGCCAGTGAGCATCATGTATGATATTTTTCATTACCTGCTGTCCAATGCCCCGTAATTATTTGATTTCTGCAAGAATACAGATGCACTATCAGAAATTTGACATTCATTCATTCTCACACACTGTACTTTCAATAGCTATTATAAGTCCTCCTTTTGTGTTGGTGGCAGGATTCTATCTGCACAAATTTTTTTCTTTTGCAAATAGAGGAAAGCTAATGCTGCTCGCAACGATTTCAGCCTTCTCAAAGATGTTGATTATCCTTTTTGTATCTGCCATGAACTAATTCTTGTAGCTACAGTTGTAAATATACACGAGAAGTTGTTAAAGATATCAGAGACTCGTCGAAGAAACTTTCATATGAGAAGTTGAGGGAGGCTGGTTCATGTTACTAATTCTACTGATGTGCCAATGCCATCATTTGCTTAATTGCTTCACTCCGCAGGCCTTATATTATCTGCCAGAGTGCCTTAGAATTATGATTACTATTTTTTAGTGAATTTTCTGGCTGCTCAGCTGTTTGGTTTGCGATAACATTTAAATTTTTTGAGAACTTTTACTAATAAATTCGGCAGTAACTTTCTTATCATATTTGTAAATTCTTCTGAGAAGTTAAGAGGTGACTATTTCTGTAACTTTAAGTAAAGGGTTATTTTATTTTATGGTATTTATTTTCTATTACCAAAAAATAAAATAAGCGGTCATGTTTACGTAGTAATTCAGTTACAGAAAATAAAATAAAATCGAAATCTCATTGAATTAAGGGATATTTAATTCTGATTTCATCAAATAAACTAAATCTAAATATGAATGGAGTAACGGGTCCTTCAAATCATGCAATGATAAGTAAACTGATTAACAAGCATTAAAGCTTGTAGTTTGGGAGCAAATACAATTTAATTCTTCATCTTTAAGTGCTGTTACAGTTTAGTCCCTTTCAAGGTCCTTTAGGCTGCTGCAAGGGTGAAAACTGTCCACGTGTCAGTTTATGTGCAGATAGTCAATTTAGTCCCTTGACTCTAGGTTGGCCACGTGATTTTTTTTTTTCTTTTTGAAATGTATTTCAATTTTTCAAGCTCAAGTAAGTCAATTTAGCCTTCAACTCTAGGTTTTACAGTAAGTAAGCCTTTATACACTGCATAAGAAATTAGGTACTAACATGATAACACATGCATTTCATAATTTTTTATTTCTTTTATACGAATGAGATTTTTCTAATTTTTTTTATTTATCTCTTATAATCATATCCTTATTTTTCATATCTGATTTGTAAATATATTTGTGTCTTTATATACGAGATTTATGTCTTTAGATTTGGAAGCCTAAATCCATTGAATAAATAGAAACTTTTTAAACATTATAGAGGTAAATTGGAAAATTAAAAAAATCAAGGGGTATAATTTGAACATTGATAGCCTGTAAGGGATGTATAATTTATCCTTTTAGCTTTTTTTTTTTTTTAAAAAAAATTTCTTGTTAAAGCATATGCTTGTTGTTTTTTATATTTATTTTTTCTTCAATTGCTTGGCTTAGATTCTGTATTCCATTATCTTTCAGATAATAATATATTTTATTTTATTTTATTTTCGAAGCAATATAATTTATTAAGAATTAGCATGTAGTAATAAAAAAAAATGTCGAGAATTTTTCACTAAACACGCGTATTATTTTAAAAAAAGAAAAGTACTACGTGTATTCTTTGTATAGCCAAGTTTTCATTCCAAATATATTAAATTTGAAAAATAACACCATTTCTTATAAAATCATCAATTTCCACAAAAATTATTAATATTCCTGTTAATTTGCTCCAATATCTTAAAAAATGAATTATGTAAAGTGCACTTCAAGTAAAATAAGTTATTTATGGATATATAAAACTCCATTTTGTTCTCATACAAGTCTAATGTTATATTGTTTTGTTATATTTTGAATTATATGATATGTTATCTGATTATGAACTCACATTATGCCCATGGCCACTGAATTTGTGTGAATCTACTTGTTTTTCCTTCCCCTTTCATGCCACTAAATATTTTTGTTTTACATGAAATTGTAACTTTTTATTTTTCTTTCCTTGTGTAGGTGTTTTTTAGTCCTCTCTTTCATTTTGTTTTTCCGAAGTGAGATAATATATTAAAAATTAGAATACGATATTCTGATATTCAAAAAAAAAAAAAAAAATCCACTGAACAAAAGTGTATTGTTTTCTTAGAGTCTTTTTTTTTTTTTTTTTTGGATAATTGAAAAACAGTCGCTTTCCAAATTTCCCTCTTTAGAAAACTAGAGTACTATTTGATTTACCTATTATCTTGTTGCTGTTATTCATTATTTTTTTAAAAAAATCTAGCTAAATGTAAAGAGAAAAATTATAAATTAGTCTCTGTAGTTTTGCAAAACCAATTAATTCGTTTTTCTTACTTTAAAAATTAATTCTTTAGTCATTTGAATAGTGTCAACCACACTTAATTTAATATTAATTTTCATCAATTTTTTCATAATATTTATTTTTTTTTAAAGAAAAAACAAAACAAATCAGAAAAGAACATAAAATGGAAAAAAATGACTAAATAATTAAGTTTGGAAATAGAAGGACTAATCAATTTTTTTTATCAAAGCTAGAGGGATTAATTATAAATTGCTCGAATGGAAAAGTACAGATGGAAATTTAAAAATTATTTTCTGAAAACAAACTTAATCAAAACTATTTATGGGCCAGGCTTTAAGTTGGGTCAATGATTACCCAGGCCACAAAAGAAGCCCAGCCTACTTTTTTTAATCCTTAAACCCTAGCCTTTCAACCTCTCCCCTTGTATCCCTAGTTTCCTCCCGAGTTTCTTCTCCAATCTTTCCTCTCTTTGTTTTTCAGCAATTTTTTCATAATATCTTAACATAAAATCGACAAAAAAATGACTAAATAATTAATTTTTAAAATATAAGGACTAATTAATTTGTTTATCAAAGCTAGAGGGATTAATTATAAGTTGCTCGAATGGAAAGTACAGAGGAAAATTTAAAAATTATTTTCTGAAAAACAAACTTAATTAAAACTATTTATGGGCCCGGCTTTACTTTGGGTCACTGATCACATAGGCCCAAAAAGGAAGCCCAGCCTACTTCTTTTTATCCCTAAACCCTAGTCTTTCAAACTCTCCCCTTATATCCTAGTTTCCTCTCGAGTTTCTTCTCCAATCTTTCCTCTCTTTGTTTTTCTTTTTCTTGGCAACCAAACAGATTCCTCTCGATCTCCTGTTTGGTTATTACCATGGGCGCAAAGGCAAAGAAAGCATTGAAGAAGAGGTTGAGCAAAATTTCTTCTTCTTCAACTCAGTTAGTTAATGGAAAACAATCCTCTGCTGATTTCTTGGTTTGTTTTTGCTTTTCTTTTCTTTTAATTGTTTTTTAATTTCACATTAAAATTTATATTTTATCGATTTTCTTATATATTTTCGTGTTAAAAAATAGCCATTGGAAGGTGGACCAGCGCGGAAGTCACCGGCTCTGAAAGAGCTGAAAAATAAGTCTGGTGTGCTGTATGTTGGTAGGATTCCTCATGGTTTCTACGAGGAAGAAATGAAAGGTTAGGTCTAATTTGTTATTAATTGATGGTGGTTATGTTTTTGTTGAAGATTTGAGTTTTGGGGTCTTGCTTATTAGATTTTGTTGCATGTTTCAGCTTATTTTGCGCAATTTGGTACTATTAAGAGATTGAGGATCGCGAGGAATAAAAAGGTTGGATTTCTTGGTACTTTGTGTATCCCATGTAGCCTAATGATGTCTTGAATGTTGTAGTTGGCGTGGTTTTTACTTTTACTTGATGTGTGTGTGTTTTTTGGCAGACTGGAAAATCGAAGCATTTTGGATTCATGCAATTTGAAGATCCTGAGGTGGGGGATACTTTGCTGTAGCATTGATTGTATGTTGATGTTTTTGAGGATGTATAACAATACCGCTATGCTGATTGCAGGTGGCGGAAATTGTAGCTGAATCTATGCATAACTATCTGTTGTTTGAGCATCTTTTGCAAGTCTATGTTATCCCCCAGGAGCATGTGCATCCAAAATTGTAAGCAATTTATCATTTTTAGTATTGATTTATTGTGTTATGTTTGCTAAGTGCTAAAGGAAGATAGCATCATGTGCTTTATTGAAGCATAGCAAGGAAGTTTTTTTATCGCTAAATTCTTGGATATATGAATTTGAAAGTTGGAACCACAATCACAGAATCCTACACTGCTTACTGTCTTTGCCTTATGCACTAGAATATGCTTATTTCTTTTTCCTTTTCTTTTTGGTGACTCATAGGTGGAAAGGTTTTAATTATCGTTACAATCCTGTGGACCGGCTTCAAACCGAAAGAAAACGGCATGACAAGGTTTGTAGTGGATAGGAAGTGATAATCATGGAGAATAATAGTTTTTGATGCTATTGAAGGAAAAAAAAAAAAAGCTCTTTCTAACCATTGTATCATAACCCTTTTGTCTTGTGCTATGGCTACTCAGGAGAGAACACTTGATGAGCACAGAAGATTGGTGGGCAGGATTATGAAGCGAGATCAGAAGCGGCGAAAAATGATAGAAACTGCTGGTTTGGATTACGAGTGCCCTGAATTCGTAAGAACTCTAATTATTTTTCTCCTTTTTAATACTCGACCAAGTACAAAAGATAATTGGGGAAAAAAACAGGAGAAGGAAATTAGCATGCTATATTGCTAGCATCAAGATTTAGGGTAAAAATTTTCCTCTGCTTTCGTAAATCTTGCCAGTCTGGTTGATGTCAATGGGAAATCATTACTGTGCACACAACAAACAGGTGTATTCTTGAGTCTACAGATCAGATCAGTAACTGCGGAGTCAATAACAGTGGAGTAAAATGAGAAAAATTACCCATACTCGTTGCTGTTGTTTTACCCAAGAATTTCTTTCCTTTTCCTGCGTCCTCCACCCCAATAGATTCCTGGTTTGAACCATGACCATAGCTGCACTTGCATTTAACATGAAGCTGTGATCAGTTGCACTTGCTAGGAAACAGAATATTGACTCACAGCAGGATGTTGCTGAGTTCTGTTTATCTTAGCTGGTAACAAATTAACTTTGAATGCATTTATTGTCTCTCATGCTCATACTGATTTGATACAAGTCCACTTCTCTGTGATCTGTAGTGTGCCATCCTAGTTATTGTTGGATGACTCGTGAAATGTAATTGTAAGACAACAGGCAGGATGTAAAAGCTTCCAGTTCCTTCGAACATGATGGCACAAAATATCTTCTGTTCCAACCACTTGCCCTTAAGATAAAAATGAATCATGTATATTCCACCCCCTGCCTGTTCCTGCCCGGCATACTATTTTTTTTTTCAATGAAAGAGCCTTTACTGCTCCTCAACTCTGGCTACTTTTGGTGGGCCACTCCCAAGATTACTGGGGTTGTATAGAATCATTTATAATTGCATCACATTTAAAATTCTATTCATGCTAAGTGAATAGGTGGCTATCAATACTTTTCTTTACTTTAAAGAATATAATTTGATGGTTTGATGGTTTAGAGCAAATGAAGTTTAACATAAAACATGAATTCCTTGGTAATTATTTATTGGCATGTTATCTTGCAAACCAAGAATGGGTCTTTCTGCCTTTGTTTTGGTATCTATATTATGACTCATCAAAATTTTTTATGGCACCCCTTTTTTTTTTTTTTTTTGCAGGTTGGTGATGTTAAGTCTGTGCCAAAGAAGATTAAGTTTGACCTAGATTAGGGGTTTTGTGGAGTTCCTCGAGAGTTGCTGTTGTGGTAAGTTTTCATTTTTCTTGTAGTGTAAATCACCCTATGTATGTCCGGTGGATGCTTACTCTCACCTTTCTCCTGCCAGGTTTTTCTATTAAGGATAAAAGAAGTAGCGAGGACTGTTACGCAAGAGTGTATTGCTAAGTTCTCAAATCGAGCCGTGTGGAGTTGCTTCTGAATGTAGACGTGGAAGCTTGTATCTGACCTTTCGCTTCTATATGTTATAGATGTTTGTTCATAGCTTTCATACTAACAATCCAGTACTTGATGCTAGGACCATTTAAATGTTGAAGCAGGAATTGCATGTTGAGTTTCCTTTTTAATTTGAATTCAGTCTTGTTTCAAGTATCCTTCGCCCCTTTTTGTTCGGTTCATTTCTTGCTATTGCTCATTTTCTCTCTTCCCGTCGTATTTTTGGCATACGTGGTATGAAAGAAAGGATCCATCTTTGTCCTTTAGTTTTATTACATAGATGACTGGCCACAGATGCGTTGCAATCTGTCTGATAAGTGAAGCATGACTGGCTGTAAGATTAACAAAAGATATTTTTTGATGCTTGGGAATTCACATGATGACCCAGGCTTTCATTTATGCTCTACTTGAATGCAAAAGCAAACTTGATACAGCAGATTCACAGTGCACCCAACGACACTTGCAATAATCTTTACCGACAATTGATTTCTTTTTGTTAAAGATTTAACCCATTACAAGCAGAACCAGCATTGCTCTTGGCAGACGAATTTCTCTACGCTATAACCCCAAATTTTCTGCTTCTTGAGCCTTTATTTTAGCTGTTCAGGTTCTTTCTTTCCCATTCTTTTTGCAGCTAATTCATACAAATTCACGGCCATAAACATTGCCAGATAGAATTTGATTAAACACGTGATTCTAATTCTTCTCAGCTAAAACTAACAATACTAAAAACAACTGGTAAACCGAAAAAAAATCTGCACACTCACTTATTGGTAACGAACCAGAGATTTCATTAAGACATGAAACTAGCCTACCTGAATTCGGTTTCAAATTTAACCACGGAGGAAGCAACCTATCAATTGGTAATGAACCAGGGATTTTCATTAAGACACTAAACCACTCTACCCAAATTCGGTTTCAAATTTAACCACGGAGGAAGCAAATTGATAATGAACCAGGGATTTTCAACAGGACATTAAACTACTCCACATGAGTTCGGTTTTATTGAAACAAAAGAAACCACAGAGGAAGCGACCTGTCAATTGGTAATGAACCGGGGACTTCCAGTAAGACATAAACTCCTGTACCGGAATTCAGTTTCAAATTTAACCACAGAGGAAGCAACCTATCAATTGGTAATGAACCAAGGATTTTCAATAAGAAATTCAACTACTCTACCCGAATCCAGCTTCAAATTTAACCAGAGAGGAAGCGACCTATCAATTGGTAATGAACCAGGGATTTTCAATAAGACGTTGAACTACTCTACCCGAATCCGGCTTCAAATTTAACCACAGAGGAAGCAACCTATCAAAAGGAAAGTGCAGTAGTGGAATAAGCTACTAATGTTCTTTCTTCAGAACACCATATTGAAACAAGTAGCTACCATACCACTTTAGGCCATCTAAGCGTTTCCTACAGCAAGCCATCAAAATAAGTGCTCCACCAAATTCTAGTAAAACCTAGCCTCAGTCTAGTTCAAATAAGCTAGTGAAAGTTCAACAACAGCAAACAAAGGACAAATTAACTTCTGCCACTAAAATTCAGAAACCAATAATGCACATGAAATTCAAGAAATTATGACAACTATTAAGAAAGTATCCAAGAAGGAACGAAAAACCCTTAAAGAAGGGTAATAAGGATGAAAATAAGAAGGGCAGCAATGAAAGAGTACTTAAGAGCAGCAACAAGAATAGCAAAAGAGATAAAGAAAAGCTGCCAAAGAACTTGAACACTAGCCCAAGCAAGCAAACCAGTTAATCCAACAGCCAAGATGTTATCAGGATCTGGGCTCAGTAACAATTCACCCCACTTGATATTGCTAAAGGGAGGAGGTTGATCTTTCTTCAAATCATCACCACCACCACCACTGTTATTCGAAGACCCATTTTCCTTCTCTTGTTTTGGTTCTTGAGTTAGGTTGTTGTTGTTAGTTTGTGCAAAGAGGAAGAATCTTGGATGGATTTTTTTGGAGATTTTGAGAGGGAAAGAACGGAGAGGGAGGATGGATTGGGGATGAAGAAGACTGGTTATTGAAAATGACCGGATTGGTTGGTGTAAGAAGGATTTGTGCCCTAACATTTTGTATATGGCATATCAGCGTTCAAAAAAATAAATATTGAAAAATGGAACATGGCAAAATCTTTATTTTTCATCTTGATTAATCAGGAATTAAAACCAAAAACAGAAAAAAATAAAAAACTAGAAATCGACCACAGTGGGAGTCGAACCCACGACCTTTTGATCCGAAGTCAAACGCGCTAATCCACTGCGCTATGCGGTCATTTGATGATCTAGCCAATAAATATTATATAAATAAATATCTGAAGCATTTCATATTAGCAACATAGGATACGTTAAAGAACTAAATTTAATATGATTCATGACAATGAAGTTTTTCTCTTTCTGCTAAAAAAAGCATTGAAGCTTAATAATTGCACATTAATTAAGGAACCAGAATATTCTTCCAAAAGACAGGATCCAAATTTTTTAGTAGGTGGGTTTAATTTGACTTATCAAGTTATCATGCACATTGATGGGTTTTTTTTCTCTCTCGAATCTCTTAACTTCCTTTTTGCTCCACAGTTGAGACACAAAACCAGCTTCTGTTAGAATCCCTGGTTTTATACCATAGACTGTGATAGTTTTTTTTTGTTGAGAAAAAGGTCATAGCAAGTCCGTCACAAGCCCCACTCGGGCCTAGACTTTCTTGCGTGTGAAAAAGTCTTTTTTATGCCATTGTCTTTTTTCCTTTTGGCAATCACCACTTTGCCTTTTGTGTCTACCTTGCCTCTCCTCCATAGCCCCAGGCCCCGCCCCTCCAGTTAATTAGGGCATGGCTAGGTTACGACTTAAAAAGAGTTCGTCTCTTCTCTCTTAGTGTATATTTCTACAGAATCTTTCTTTTTCTAGTACGCTCTTGAATCTGTTTGATGAAAGCACAAAGTCTTTTAACTTCTATACTTCCACCAGATGTTTAAACATTCGATTAAAGCACGTTTTGAAATTTTTTATCGGATTATTTCATGTTGATTTGGTTATTTGATTATAAGTACAAGGAAAAAAATTACTTCTTCAATTAGTTTTGAGTATTAAGAAAGTTTAATAAGATAAGACATTGGTATTGGAGTTAATATTAAACAATTCTATGTATATCAACGTTATGTGAGTTGATAAGAATTAATAGATTTAGTATATGGTCATATCATTATATATGGACACCACACAAATTAATAAAAAATAATCAATTTAAAATCAAATCACATCAATTGTAAAAGGATCATACAAGTTGATAGATGACCAATAATATATGAGTTGATAAGAATTAATAGTATTAAGTAGAAAGAAAAAAAATACATCACTTCTTTCATTAATTTTGAATGTTAAGAAAATTTATTAATACACAACATTGTTATTAGAGTTCATATTAAACAACTCTACATACACCAACCGTCATATAAATTTATAAAAAATTAATAAATTTAAGATATGTTTATATCGTTGTACGTCGATGTCATACAAGTTGATAAGAAATAATCAATTTAGAATTAAATCACATCAATCGTAAAAAATCATACAAGTTGATAAAAAAGCAATCAACTTAGAATCCGATCACGTCAATTGTAGAAGTAATCCAATGTGTGCGTGATTATAAGTAAAATGATTTTGTGCTTCAACAAATACATTGAATTCTTGCTTGCGAAAAAAGCCTTCTTTACGCTACTACATTTCTGTAATTTGCATATGGAATTGTCTAACGTGTTTCTTCCGTCCTTTTCTTGTTACCGTTGCATTTGGGCCGTCCAAAGACGGAAAGAGCAGAACTAATCAAAACCCAATGGGGAACAAAAAGCAAAACAAGAGATTATCCAATGATGTCTTGCTAAAAGGATCCGCCCTTTTTCTTCTTCAATCTCTCTCCCTCTCTCTGTCTCTCTCAAAATCAATATATAGATATATATAATCTCGACCTCTGTGTCCCATCACCACCCTGCCAGTCCATTTCGAAATCCAAGACCCCACCACATTCTCAGCCAGGCCGTACAATATGGCTTGACATGATGTGTAAAATTTGTGATGTCCAGCTATGAAATTATGACCCACATTACCCTTTTAGGCAAAGACAAACCCATCTAACTTCCTTCATAGTTGACAAGCTCTCTCATCTTACCAATAAATCCACTCACCTAAATCATTTTCTTACCTTTAATCATTTGCTTTATTATACCTTCCAGGTCATAAAATGATTTTTGACACATCAACGTTTATTCTTTCAGTGCCTTTTAATTACAAAGGCATCACCTAGTGGTGCATCCCTTCTTGATTGCCTTTTAAAAGCAAAGCAATTTTCAGAAATCAATCATCTTAATGTGAGGAGGCAGTTCGTCATTCTCTTATTGGCCATCCTGTTCATGAGCATCTTTAGTTCATAATATGAGTGCTCAGTTTTTAATTTTGTAAAAGTAAGATCAAGCATATGATTGAATAAGTAGAAATCCAGCTATGATATGAAAAAATCCAATGATGTTCTAAAATCATGCATTGAATATCATAATATATTCATGTTAGATTAATTATAAATTTGTTTGGAAGAAATTTTATGTCTTTCAATTATTAACCAATAATACATGCACTTAATTCGCAGGAGATAGATAAATATAAAGAAAATAAAGAATATATATTTTTTAAATAAGTCTAGATGTAATTTTTTGTCTTGTTTTTTTATGGGTTTAGATGTCATTTTCTTTCTTTTTTTGTATTTGTTTTCAGGTCATTCATATATAAATGATTTTTATCCTAATTGTAGATTTGATTCACTAATTATTAATTAGTTTTGAAAATACTAAAAGTTTTATAGTACTAGAGATCTCAAATCTGTGGATATCAATAATAGTTCATCATTTCAATGAATCATTTCTTTTAGAGAAATAAAAATTATGTAAACAGCTGCTTGGGATCTCACTTGTTAGATTAATTCCATAGTGTATTCTACAAGTTTCGCTCAATATTAGCCATGATATATTTGATCCATGTATATATAGTATCACGAAAAATGAAAATAATTTTTTTTAGTACTACTTTATGTGAGTAATAGTTGGTTTGAAAATGTATCTAAAGTAACTAACAGTATTTATCTGCAAAAGAGAGCTAAATATAAAAAATAAAGAGAAAATTAAAAAAATAAAGCCAATGTAGAAATTTCTTTGTGGTTTTTAATAGATCCGAATGTAATTTTTTTTCATTTTATATCTTTATCTCTTTTTAAAATAAATATATGAAATAAGTATTACTAATTATTCTTTCACTATTTTAAAAATTATGCGAAAATATATTTAGAAATTATTTTGGAAATCTCAACAGGAAAGATATTTAAACACCAATGGCTTTGATTGGCGGAAAATGTCTTATCTATTAATTAAATAAAAAAATCATTATCATTTTTTTTTTTACTATTTTTACTTGGAATAATTGCAAACATTATTGACTTCATATTCTAGTACGTACACATGCAGCAAATTGAATGTAAAATTGTTTTTAACAAGTTAGTGATAATAGTTCACCACCATGAGAATGACCTCATCATTATAGCATTCCCCTTTAACTATTTCTTGCTTCAGTCATTCTTGACTGCTTAAGCTAGCTGACCTGCAATTCTGTAGGCTCTTTTATGGATATTGCTTCTTCTCCTTCCTTTTTTTTTTTTTTTTATCTAAACAATATTGAAGAGATGTCACTTCACTTCACTCATGCGAACACGAGGGAATGGATTGGGTCAGCAACGTCTGGGGTAAGTAATCAGGTCTGACAAGTGTGTCTCAGGAGAGGATTCAGATTCTTTCTTCTTCCAATCTTACGTGGGAAAACATGGGCAATAAAAAAGATTCAGAGACAACTCACTTCTTGTTGACAAATGAACAAGAAATATAAGGTTTCGGTTTGTTTGAGTGTGAGGCCAGTATTGTCTTGCAGGTTCCCTATTTTTTTATTGCTTAAATTAAAATTGCTAGCGAATTAATTAAAATCTTCCTCACCACCTAAATTCGTAGATGAAGTGGTAAAAAAGCGTTTTTAATGTATCAAGTGATAAGAAGAATGATTCTAATCCATAATGTTAAAGATTCCATTTTTATTCTTGAAATTTGTTTTTTATTTCTATATTACTGAATATAAATTGCAGTATTGGTTGAAAAAATACCATCCAGTGCTTACATAGTTCAAAAAATAATAATTTTAATTTTGATTAATATAAAAATTAATCTAAAAATATCTTAATAGATATATATATATATATCTTCTTCTTAATTTTAGAAATTAATACATTTAGATCCAAAAGGTTTTGAACGAAAAAAATTCTAATCATTTAAATAAATAGTTTCAAATTTGATATCTTCCTTCTTAATTTAAAAAACTAATACATTTAGATTTAAGAGGTTTTGAATGAAAAAATTTATACTCGCTTAAATAAATAATTTTAAATTCAAATTTTTGTATACACATAAAACTTTTTAAGTAATCCTGGAGATCTTATACCTCCCATAAAAAAATAAGTCTAATAACCTTTTTAGCTAGCTAGACATAGCCTATTGAACTAAAAAAAAATTTAATTATTTAAATAAATAGTTTTAGATTTAAATTCTTATATGCACGTAATACCATTTAGATAGTCCTGTTTATCTTCTACATCTGTCCGACAGAAAAATAAGGCTAATAAATTTAGTAGATTTCATAGCTGGTGATGTGAGATACTTGCAAACATCTGCATGCATAAGTACCAAATAATTAAAGAAAGGATATCTGGATCATCTGAGATCTGATAAGTGTACAGAGTTGTATTCAAAGCACCTGTCCTTAACTCGGCTATGAGGTCATTAACAGTTTTATGGAACTTCAAGTAAAGGGTGAAAACCACCTGACTTTTGGGTTAGACCTGACCTGAAGAGTTAAAGTTGTAGTTTTAACCCTATCATGGATGATAAATGAGACGAGAAAAAGTTGCTTGCTTAGTTGAGCAAATTAATCGAGCTATTTGTTAAAAAATAGATGGGTTTTTATAGTAGGATCTAACCCATGGTAAGCATTCTTTAATTAAATTTTTTTATGATATTCAAAAAGTAATTAACAATATTCATTCTTTTTTGTTTTCAACTGTTAGATTTTGTTGAAGATTGACCAATTACAGAAAATGTTAAGAATTTTTTTTTATTCATAAAAAATCCATGAGCCTTTAGACTACACAATGCGGAATATATAGTTCTCTCTCGTTACAAAATCATTAAAATTAAAATTATTAAAACTCAAATTTCACTTTACTAAAAACACTAATTAGATACACAATCATTAAATTAATTCTGCTTGTAACTATTAAGATATAATCTTTAGTGTCTTTAATTTAATTTTTCTTTAAATCATTTTAGTAACAATCTGTTCAAATTATATCGAATGTTATAAACACGTAGTCTAACTTGAATTAAATACTACAATATCCGATTTGAATACAAAAATATGAGAATGGATTTTGCGCATATATATATATATATATATATAGTAGGAATTGTGTCAATTTTTGTGTTAACAAAGACTAAATCCACCGCTTTTGAACTAAGTCAGCTTTAAAACTCGTATGTCTTTTATTCGACTACTGGATCGGCTCTTAAGTCAAACCAATTCAAATCTAATACTACTAATAGATAATTATAATTATTTAGCTCATTTAACTTTAATGATTTAGAAATAGATATGCTAACATATATATTATTTTTAAATTCCGTTATTTGCTCTCTAAAGTATATATCTTTGCAAGAATTATACATGAAATACCCTTTTTTTTCTTGGAGAATATATATATTGGCATGACTTAAATAACTAGACTAAAAGAGATTCTTGAATTTGTACATAAACTAGAAGGCATAAATAAATTCAAATATGTTCCGGTACTCAACAATATCTTGTTAAGAATATCTTTAAAGTTGAACTTTTCTTTTATCTTGAAATTAATAAAATTGATTCAAATTTTAAGTTGTTGCAATTTTTTTTTCTTTAATGGAATTATAAGGTTCATATCATGGCCTCTTCATGGCAGAAACTTTCTGCATGCTACTCATATCTCTCAAGCCGTGCATCCTCTTCACATGGTCAAAGACACAAGATTCTAACCGGCTCAGGCAATGATACTCAAATTATATCGAAAGACAATAAAAAAAAATAATATTAATATGTCCCAAGTAAGCTGTTCATAATTTTTTTTAACTTTGTTAATTTGTATTTATCCCTGTCATTATCTTGCTAGCTTTTAATTTAATATATATATATATATATATATAAAGTTAACATCATTAGCTAGAAAAATTTCTACCTATATATACAACATTTTATTTCATATAAAAAAAATTATGCAGTAACAATAGAATAACGTAACTGATGTAATATCCAATTCTTAGTGTGTGTTTTCTATTTTTCTTCGTATATTTCCATCGCATATTGAAAATAGAACTAATTTTGTTCGAACGAAAACGATAAAATTTAATTTATTTCAACAAGTACGATTTTAAAATTCAAACTCCGTATATTTATAAATAAAAAAAATCATCTAGAGATCAAGCTTGTTTATTACTTAATCAACAATTAATAGTAATTCTTAGTATGTGTTTACTATTAAAAAAAACTTAAATAATATAAAACACCAGCATTTTCTAACACAGTACTTATTAGGTGCTTTGTAGACAAGATTTGTACAGTGCCAATGGGTTAAATAATATAAAACACTTACATTGCGAAATTTTATATAGCTGCGATGACAAAAAAGCACCACAATGACTAAAACTTCATCGGGCTAATGTGGTTAAATCCAAAGAATATTGACTTTTGAATCAATGACTTAGCCAATCATGGCAAATAAGAGAGAGACCCACCACTAAAATTGCAAAGATTAGAATGTGTGAACCTAGTATAATTTTTTTTTTTTTTTTGGGGTTTCGACAATGAGATGCTTTCACACATGGTTTTTAAAAATTAGAGAGTTTTTAATAACCCATCCACAACATATTAGTAGATTATCAAAATATTATAAAAATAATGATATATTAATAAAATAAGACGAGTGTAAAAAGACACGAGAATTAAAAATAATACTAATAAAATATAAGTCATTTAACAAATATTTTGTAAATAGATGAATAATGAAAGTCCAAATAAGTCAAACTTTGAAAGTCATGTAATATGCGTGTGTGAAAGCTTTGAATAAATCTCGAGTGGGACGAATAATTTTCCTTTCACATCTCATAAAAGATTCTTTTCGCTCCCCTTTTGAGAACCATATATGAGAATTTCATCTTTTATGGTTCAAAGAACAAAATCCAAATTCTAATTGAAATAGATATGTGCCATAGAAAGAAATATTGAGTAACTGAGTATCTATATATCTTTCATGGAGCTAGGTTTCAAGAATTCCCAAGAAATTCTTCAATTTGTCTCGAAAGCATATAATTATTCATCTCCTTCGATTTTCAGTTCAGTTGATTTTATAGTTTGGATCCATATGTATCATATATATTAGGGGGAAAAAAAGAGTACATAATTAATTAAATTATTTAAATAAATTATAAAGACAAAACGAATATATACACTTAACAGTATCGTGCTTCGAAAAATTCTTTTTTCTTTTAACCTTAATTTTCTTAAGATGATTCAATTTCAAACCCAAAACTACTATCGTCTCAGCAAAACTTTTTGCTACCTGAACCAACAGTAAGAGGGTTAAGCTAGCTAGCATATGGCTTCTCCTAGGGTACCAAACTGATAACGTTAGGAAGATGGTCGGTCAAAAGGTCAAATCCTAAACACTGTACACGCGTCATCTGATCAGAGCTCGAATAGTGGGTTATCATCCTCGTGTAATGCTTTGACATTTGTCAATCTCTAATTGGTCCATACACATTACGTAAGGTTCTTCTTTCTCTCTCTAGAGAGAAAGACAGAAAGAAAGAGAAAGATTTAAGAAGCAGCAGTGATGATAGAGTGATGAAAAGTTGCGGTAGACTCGGATCCTGTCTCCGCAAGAAAAAAGTTCCAAATTTGTCCATTTATCTCTTTATAATTTTACGCCCCCCACAAAAAAAAATGCTCTCCCCTTTTCTCCTTTTCTTTCTCTGTCTGTAGTATTTTCTTGCTTTCAAAACCTAGTGGGAGGATAGGAGGAGAAGCAAGAAATGAGTGAACACCACCACCAGTACGGACTGCCAGATCTCCGGCAACTGGTGGCCGGAAGAACTCATTTTCAAGGAACCCAACAAGGGAACGAGCCATTCTTTGTTCAAAGTAGGAATCTTGCACCACAAACACACCACTTTGAGTCCATTATGGTTGGTCATGAAGCAATGTTGCCTAGTGGTTTGGTCAAGCTTGGTGGGCATCATCAGGATCATTATTGCACCAATGCCACTAATATTAATACCAATAATACCACAAGTAGCGCTACAATTGGTACTAGTAGCTCAGCTGGTGTTGGCACACTATATGGAGTAGAAATGGAGAGTGCTACTACTGCTGGGTGGATTGGAAACGATGGAGGGAATAACAGTAGATGGCCAAGACAAGAGACTCTTACTCTTCTTGAGATCAGATCTAGGCTTGATCCCAGGTTCAAGGAGGCTAATCAAAAAGGTCCATTATGGGATGAGGTTTCTAGGTACTTATTACTTTCTTTGTTTCTTCAACTAAATGAATTCTACTAAACCCTTTTCTGTAATATCTTTTTCCTTTTAGTATTTCTTATTCTAGCTAGCTAGTTCTTGCATTGCTGATACTGAATTAGGAAACGAAACCCTAATTTGGTTTTGTCATGAACTGAACATGGATGCTTTTCCTTCTATTTTTTGGTGTTAAGCTTCAAGCTAAGCATCTATTTTATTTGCTTGTTTTGTGATTAATTTCCTCTAAATAGCCATTTACTGGTTTTGTGCTGGTAGTGTTGAAAATGTTGAAGACTATTGAAGATAAAGAGCATTTATTCCCAATATCATACTTAATCTCTTTTCTAATTTTCTGTTATGAATTCCTTGGTAGCAATTTGGGGACTGGAAGTACCAGCTAGCTAGTCTCTTCTTCTTCTTATAATCATCATCAACATCATCATCTTCTTCTTCTTCTTCTTCTTCTTCCTCCTCCTCCTCCTCCTCCTCCTATGAGAGAGGAGGAAAATAGCTAGTTAATGAATTTAAAGAGAGGCAAGATAACTTATTTGGTGCGATCTTCATTAATTTATGCCAAGAAGAATGTTTTTTTTTAATAGTTAATACTTTAATTACTAAAAAAATGATGGTCAATAAACTACTCATTAATGGGTTTTTTTTTCTTTCTTTCTTTTTTTATATTCTTTTTTGGTGGTAGAGAGTAGAGGAATGTTAGTCAACTATTGATCAAAGAATCATTACCATAGTATTATTAGTGTATAGACAAGAATACTAAAACTTCCACCTAGGTTTTTCTTTTCTTTGAAACTTGTACTTGTTGCCTGTTTGCACATACATACATACTAGTAGTGTTGAGTCGATTTGACTTTGCTGATATTTTCAGGATCATGGCTGAGGAACATGGGTACCAGAGAAGTGGCAAGAAATGTAGAGAGAAGTTTGAGAACTTGTATAAATACTACAAGAAAACCAAGGAAGGTAAAGCCGGGAGACAAGATGGGAAGCACTACAGGTTCTTTAGACAGCTCGAAGCCCTTTATGGAGAACCAAGCAATCAAGCTTCAGCCTCAGAAACCCATTTTGTTAACAACACTCTTCTTTACCAAACTCCAATGAGCAACACAATCAACCAAGAAAGTCAAGAAACATTTCAAGAAAACAAGCACAGTGAGAGTCTGAGTTTCTCCAACACATCTGAGTTTGAGACTTCCTCGTCAGAAAACAATGATGATGACCTTTCAGCTATTGCTTATAACATGATGAACCGATCAATGGAAAAGCAGAAAGGGGCAAATGAAAGCCAAAGTCTTGCAAGGCCTAAAAAGAGTTGGAAATCAAAGGTTAAGGACTTCGTGGACTCACAAATGACGAAGTTGATGGAGAAACAAGATGCCTGGATGGAGAAAATGTTGAAGACCATTGAAGAAAAAGAGCATGAAAGAATTTGTAGGGAGGAAGAGTGGACAAATCAAGAGTTGGCTCGGTTCGATCGGGAACATGAATTTTGGGCTAAAGAGAGAGCATGGATTGAAGCTAGAGATGCTGCATTAATGGAAGCTTTGAAGAAACACACAGAGAAAGGGGTAGAACTCTCGTCATCGATCGAGCAAATTGCCGTAACAGCTCAAAGGCATAACAAAAACCAGGACAGCACCAGTGCTAAAAAGATTCAGAAAGACAAGTTTAACAACATTACATGGTCAGAACCCGAGATTCTAGGCTTCATACAGCTCAGAACTTCCATGGAATCAAGATTCCAGGAAAGCGGGTATTCAAATGAATGCCTCTGGGAGGAGATAGCAGCAGAAATGGCTAGTTTAGGCTATGACAGGAGTGTGGACGAGTGCAAGGAGAAATGGGAAAGCATGAACATCTACTTTAACATGACAACAGCAGAGTCTAACAAGAAGCGCAAAGAGGATTTAAGGACCAGCAATTATTTCCAGCCACTTGAATCCTATAATGGCATGAATTCATCACCTTCTAATTCTTATGTGGGTAGTCAAGTGAATGATAACAGCTGCTTTCAGGTTGAAGGAGATCAGCATTTGTGGAATACTAATAAGTTTGACTTGAAGCTCAACAAGGAGAAGAACCAGCAAGTTTGGCACAAGTAATTAGTATTTAATTAGATAATATTTTCAGTTGTTTTTGTATAATTAGTTATTATTTAGATCATGTTAATTAACATGTGGATGAGATTTAAGGTGGCCGTTTTTGGCATATTGTGTGACATTTGGGGATCATGAGGTTTTTCACTTGTGTAAGTAAGAACTGACTAGGGCGTTGTTTTTTTTACCATGAAATGTCTGTCTTTCATGGTCAGAACAAAAAAGTGCTGAGGGTTTTCACTAAAACGTACAATAGATGGGTTTTTTTAAGGTCTTTTTTATTTATTAATTATTTATTTTTATTTCAGTTTCTTGGCTTAGGAATTTGATTGTAATTTTTTTTTTTTAAGTCTGAGTGGTATGGTTTCCATATGCAGTGTTTATATAGTGATTTTTTTTTTTTTTAATGAAAATCGATAAATTTAAATTAAAAGACAGTTAAGAAGCGTCGAAAAAATTACAAATAAAATTATAAATATTAGAACTAGACTAGAAATAGTGATGTTTGTTAGTTAATAAACATGAAAAAGTTTAAAAAAAATTATGATCTAATTAATATAATATATTAGTTTTACATTTTTAGGCATTAAATATGGTCCTATACATATGATTAATTGTATATACAAATTAATTAATTAATGTACGAAGAAGTTTAAGTTATCTCCTTTTTTATATCTAGCTTTAAAAGGCCTATCTATATATATATATATATATATATATATATATAAGAGGTTAGAATTTGAAAATGAGATTCTTATTGTTTTAAAACTTATTACAATCTCTTATTATTTCCTCTAATTAATGCATGCAGTATGTAATTTTGTTCTTTTGAGCTAAAGAATATGAAACCTTTTCCCCTTTTTGATGAACTCATGAGTAACAATAATCTCAAAAAAAAAAAAAAATTGAAATATCTATTTATTTAATATATATATATATATAAACTAGCACTATCTCCTAAATGGCATTGTTTTGCCAAACCCTTGCTAAAGAAAAAAACCTTCATGTTCTCCTACTGTATTCATTGTGAGGGGCAAAAAACGGCACATCCATTGCTTGAAATGATGTGTACAGAAAAGAAAAACCTAAGGGAAATTTCTATTATAGATCAAGCTCGTGCAATTACAACAGTTTGTTTGATTAGGTTGCTGGCTGCTCTTGTTTGAAAACTGCACAAAAAGCAAAAAGAAAGGGGAAAAAAACAAACTGAATTGGGGATGAACCTTCATTTCTCAGCCATTTGTAATTTGAGTAGTTGACAAGACATGCACACCTCCCATCTTTCTAATCATGGTTTTGTTACCCACCAATGCTTTCTCACCTGAAAATATAAAGGCTCAAATAATCCGAAGTGCCCTATAGTAATTAATGAATCAATCAATAATAATAATTTTACATGTGAGAATGATTCAATGAAGAATTTAGGAGGGCATAATATTAAGATATGAAAACTGATATATTCGATAGTTTTTTTTTTCTTTAACTCATACATCCAAGACTTTTAGCGAATTAGCTTCGTTAAAATTTGAACTTGTGATCTCTTGTTACAAGCCACTACTATACTAGACTATAAGCTCTTTGATATGTAGTCCATAGTTTAGGACATTATATACACGACACTTTCGCTAACTGGTTATAGGGCTAAGGTTACACATGATGGCCTCATTAACCAATTAGCGAGGACGAGTTAAGGGGGCAACGTCCTTTGTGGAGACTTGGGAGCGAAGCCCTCAAAAAATTTACATAATATCGGATCAATTTTATAGGCTTGTTAGGTCTTTTTGTTTTATATATAATCCTAGTTGCCCATACTATTATCACTAAACTACAAGTTTTTTGGTATGTAGTCCGTAGTTTAGGACGTTATACACACGACGATCTCGCTAGTCGATTAACGGGTTGAGATTACACACGAAGGTCTCGTTAATCGGTTAGCAAGGACATGTTAAGGGGGCGGCGTCCTTTACGGAGACTCGGGAGCGAAGCCCTCGAAAAAATTATATAATATTGGATCAATTTTATAGGCCCGTTAGGTCTTTTTTTCTTATAATTCTAATTGTCCACACTATAAATAAGGATAAGATCTCTTGTATTTGTAAGCCTCCACTCGATAAAACCCTAATAAAAAATTATAGCGTCGTCATAGGGTAGGTACAACTATCGAACTATGTAAATCTCCGTATTGTGTGATTGTTCTTGTCTTTTTTCTCAACAATTTGATGAATATAATAAAATCAAGTATCAAATATCCATGAAGAAACCCTCTCGTTCATGACTTTAATATATAGTTTCAAATAAAGTTTGTTATACGGTGTAATGGTCATTTTTTAATGGATTTGAGTATGTTTGTTTATATAACACGATGTTATAAAAAGCTAATGATATTTTACCAAAATAACGACATTAATAATCTTATATAACAATAATAATTGTCATTGAAGATTTGAAGTTATTTGGTAAAATATATATCAATTGTTATATTATTGTAAAAAAAAAAAAAGGTGCTATTATCCTTTTGGAGATGAATATTTATAATGTATATTTTGAAGGTATAATGTATATTATTATTATTCGTGTGATATTAAATTTTTAGTAGTAATATTAACTATTTTTAAAATAAATTCAACTATTATTGTATAATATTACACTATTAAAGATATTATCACCGTACTCAATTAATAAAAGTGTTAAAAATATATAAATTATAATAAATTTATTAAAAAATATTAATATATTCACGACATTAGTGATCATAATTATTATTTTATGATCACCATAAATTATGATATTCTATCATAATCAAAACTATTTTTATAACTAGGTCTGTTATTTACTTTAAGCAAGTGCTGGGACTATGAAAGTTGTTGGTAAGTTATTTGGGCCTAGATTATTGTACTATCTCTCCAGGCCTATTACCCAAACCTGCTTTCTTTCTTCGGGCTACATTGGGCCTCAAAACTATCGTTGCCAACATATGCCCATCAATGGGTTTATTTATTTATTATTATTATTATTTTTATGTTGACATAAACTCAGTAGATTTTAAAGCGTCAATAACTTTCTCAAAAAAATATTCATCATTGAATTCGGGTGTACCTCCATTTAATTATTATTTGCCAAAAATTATGGACTATTTAAAGCCATGCCCGTACTAAAACTCTCAACCTCAGCCAAGTCCCAACGAAACCCATCTTTTTTATTTGTATTTAAAAATCATGTAAAATTCTTGTCACCCAAAAAAGCAACCGCTCTAAATTCTATGGGCCTATTCCTACTTTCTTTTTTCGGCCATTCAATTCCAGCTGAATTAGACTCCTCTTCGGCCACCAGGAAAAAGAAAAAAAAAATTCTTATTTTTAAAATAAATATATTCATCTATTTTTATATAATATTTTAATTTTTTTATATTTTATATTTTTAATAACATCTTATTTATTGTTAAAAATATTTAAAATGGTCAATATATACGTCTGATCAATTTTTCAACTAAATAAAAAATTTTGACTAAAATGTTCTTGATTGAAATGCAAAAAATAAAAAAATAAAATAAAAATAAAATCATAAAATTCTAAATATTTTGGAACATATAGGTCATGTGACTTTATATTTTAGATTCATTTATTAGATTTTGATTATTATATAAAGACATATAAATATATTTATTTTTTTATTGTTGATTTAGAACTAATGGCATATTAGTTTTATTTGTTTTTCAATCTCTACTCACTCCATTTTTTATTTTATTTTATTTTATTTTGTAGTTAGATGATAGTTTAATATCAGTTTATATTTAAATATGGATGCACAATTTTAACCACGCATGTTATTATCAATATGATATATAGTTAATTATTTGCATTAAAAATTAATCAACTATTCCATAATTATAGTCCCTTTACGTGCTATTTATTATTATTTTGCGTAATATAGATTAGTAGATCTAGCCAGCACTTTCTATTCTTCTGTTGAGAAAAATTCACCATACTTCTCAAATCTTGTCTTAGTTTAGAATTTTGATTTCTTTCTAGTTAAATTTTGATATATTATTAATTGATATACGACATTACATCAATTTTTTCCAGCCTTCATTATTAAAAATCTTGATAATGGAAAAAAAATATCATAAATACTTTAATTTTTATATAAAAAAAACTTAATTTTGAGCGAAAATCAATATAAAAAATCATCAAATTATATGAAAATTTGATAAGAAAGAAGGATTTTTTTTAATAAAATAATATTGAGCTAATCGTGATCAACACCGGTATTAAATTAAACAATTAATTTTTAATAAAAAAGATTAATTCATTCTTTTTTCAAAACTAAAAAAAAAATAATAATTATAATTTACTCCCTCAATCCCTGAGTTTACTTTCTTTTGATCTCCTAGCACTTTGCTCATTTTAAAATTCACCTAGTTACACAATCGTTAAATACGAGTAAATGCAATTGCAGTCTCCATTTAATTATTATTCTTCTTTTACTTATTAAGTGAAATTTATATACCGCCACGCGGACGTCAATTATACCATTAGATTCAAATCATGAGTTATCACAGCAAAAAGTCGGCAAAACAAGCTCATGAGTTACTTGTATTTATGAGTAAATTATAAATTAGTCCCTCTAGTTTTAAAAAATGAATTAATTGGTTTTTTTTTCTCTAAGTATTCTCATTTTATATTAAAGATATAATTAATTTTTTTAAAAACAAAAGTGAAAAAATATAATTTCTCGTAATAAGTACAATTTCAAAATTCCAACACTATACATATATAGAAAATTTGTTTAGAGACTAACTCGTTTACCGTTGGATCGACAACTTGTTAATTGATTTTTTTTAAAAAAAACCTATTGTTTAATTTTTAATTAGTGTTGATCATGTTTAATTTAATATTATTTTTATTTTATAAATTTTTTTATCAATCCTTTCATATTTTTTTCTTTTTTTATTTCTTAAAATAAAAAAATCAAAATAAAAAAAATTATAAATAGATTTAAAAATATGGAGACTAAATAATTTATTTTTAAAAGGACAGGACTAGTTCGTTTTCAGAAACGAGAGGGACTAATTTACAGTTACTGTAGTATTTATTGCTCCTGGTTAGATGTATAAGATTTTAGGCATCCAGTTTTGTGGTGTCTGTTATTTGCACATGCAGTAGCTTTATCAGTTATCAACTACCCATAATGCTGTTCATCTTGTAGAAAATGTCATGTCCATTAATTAAATCCCACCGGCAATTTCATGCTCTTTCCATTCATATAGACTTTCTTCTCCACAAACAACAACAATTCACCATCACCTTATTCATCTCTCCCTAACACAATGTCTATTCTCACTTTTACTTCTGCTTCTCTTGCTTCTTACTACCATCTCCTGTTTACTATTCTTGCCTTGTTCATTTCAGGTCTTATTTTCTTGATTTCTCGAAAATCCAAATCCAAAAGCTTAAACTTCCCTCCAGGTCCACCCGGTTGGCCTATTGTAGGAAATCTTTTCCAAGTTGCTCAATCAGGCAAGCCTTTCTTTGAATATGTTGGTGATTTGCGTTCAAAATATGGTTCGATTTTTACTCTAAAAATGGGGACAAGAACATTGATCGTCATCAGCGATGCGAAATTAGCTCACGAAGCACTCATTGAAAGGGGTGCTTGCTTTGCATCGAGGCCTCGAGAAAACCCAACAAGGACCATCTTTAGCTGCAACAAGTTCAGTGTCAACGCGGCAGTTTATGGTTCCTTATGGCGGTCGCTGAGGCGAAACATGGTGCAAAACATGCTCAGTTCAAGTAGGATTAAGGAGTTTCGTAACGTGAGAGAGAGTGCAATGGATACACTCATTGATCGGCTTAGAACAGAAGCTGAGACTACTGATGGAGTTGTTTGGGTGCTTAGACATGTCCGTTTTGCAGTGTTTTGCATACTTCTAGCCATGTGTTTTGGTATTGAAATGGATGATAAAACCATTGAAAAAATGGATCAGGTAATGAAGTCAGTCTTGATAGTTCTTGATCCAAGAATTGATGACTTCCTTCCGATTTTGAGCCCGTTTTTCTCCAAGCAAAGAAAAAGGGTATCTCAAGTTAGGAAAGAGCAAGTAAATTTCATGGTTTCCCTAATCGAAAAGCGAAGGAAAGCTCTCCGAAACCCTGGATCAGACAAATCGGCAATGTCATTTTCGTACTTGGATACCCTTTTTGACCTAACAGTGGAAGGAAGGAAATCATCTCCAAGTAACGAAGAGCTTGTCACTCTTTGCTCAGAGTTCCTCAATGGCGGGACTGACACCACCGCAACCGCCGTCGAATGGGGCATTGCACAGCTAATTACCAATCCTGAGGTTCAGACCAAGCTTTACAACGAAATAAAATCAACTGTTGGTGATCGAAAAGTGGACGAGAAAGATGTAGAAAAAATGGAGTATTTACAGGCAGTAGTAAAAGAATTGCTACGTAAACACCCTCCTACATATTTTGTTCTAAGTCATGCAGTTACCGAGCCCACAACATTGGCAGGTTATGACATATCAGTTGAAGCAAGTGTTGAATTTTACTCTCATGGCATAGGGGAGGATCCGAAAGTTTGGAACAATCCCGAAAAATTCAACCCGGATCGGTTCGTGTCCGGTGGAGAGGATGCCGATATCACCGGAGTGACTGGAGTGAAAATGATGCCTTTTGGTGTAGGAAGGAGGATTTGCCCTGGTCTAGGGCTGGCCACCGTGCATCTTCACCTAATGGTTGCAAGAATGGTTCAAGAATTTGAGTGGACCGCCTATCCACCAGGTAGCAAGTTGGATTTCTCTGGCAAGTTGGAGTTTACTGTGGTTATGAAGAATAGCCTCAGAGCTATGGTCAAGCCAAGGGTTTAAGCTGTCGCAAGGTTAATTATATAATAATGATATTTATTAATTCCAGCTTCAAAACGTTGGGTATTTATATAATTTGTAATGTTTGTAGTTATTTTTCTTTTTTAATCTGATTTGTTAACTAATATTGGTGACTTTCGACGTCATTCCTTAATAAGACTGGTGCAAATTGCAATGCGTTTTTAGAGTTAGAAATGTTGTTCTCATATATATATATATAGACAGCTTTTAGACTAATTGGTTATAAAATATTTTTAATTTTTTATCAATGCAATAAAAATTCCTAACTTTTTTTTATTTTAATTTGAGTTCTAAAACTTGTTTTGGATATACAATTAAGTTTTTTTACTCTATTGATCAATCTCAACCTCAACCGATATATATATATATATATATCATTGTTTTTAAAATTTACATGCCTAAAAATATTTTTTTAAAATGTATATTGTCATTGCAATAACTTATGTTTTTCTCACGCATGTTCAATATTGTTTGAAATTGATTAACATGACAGAATGACTTAATTACAAATTTATAAAAAAATTCAGAACTAAATCAGAATAAAAATTTTGTAAAACTTTCTCTCTGTTGACTGAAAATTCAAAATATTTTACAATTTAGTGCGGGGAGTATGTTACAAAAAATATATCTTAGCGATACGTTCATGTAGCTGTCTTTTCCGATTTGGCAGACATCTGGTCATGTCTCAAAGGGGCACAGCCGAATTTCTTGCCGGGGTAACCAAATGCTTATCCAGCAACTATGGACCTATGGTGCCTTTTAGATTTTTTTTTAAAAGCACTGGACAGAGAAACTTTTAATGTAAAATACCAAACTCACCTATTTAGAGATTTTTATTTTTTTATGTTATAATTAATGAAATATTTCAGATTTTTTTTTTACGTCAGTCCATATTAAATCTTCACTTATTTGTTAACATCTCTGTTACTCATATAAATAAATGAAACTCATTTCTTGAATCCAATTGAATTTATTTTTTTATAGATTTTTTGAATATGATTTATCAAACATATTAAAGATGATAATTTTAGTATCAACAAATTATTAATCCAATGGTAAACGAGTTGATTACCAAGAGAATTTTTTGACTGAAGGGTGGATACCTAGAAAATTTAAATGATCACTGAAATATGATAGTATTCTTTATCTAATTTTCTCATTCATTTAGTATATGTATTCTCATCTCTTTTTTTTTTTTTTTTCTATTCTTATTTCAGATTATCTATTATGATTATCGATTATGTTCCATTAAAAATTTAGATTTTTTGAACATGATTTATCAAACACATTAAATATGATAATTTTAGTATCAACAAATTATTAATCCAATAGTAAACAAGTTGATTATCAAGAGAATTTTTTATCATTATGCAAGATTCAAATTCTAGAATAGTATTTGTTTAAAAAAATTAAATTTTGTCACTCGAAACTCGAACGTAATTAGTCTTATCTTCAACATGAAATAAAAGTACTTGAGTAAAAAGAAAAATTGACAATTTTAGTTGTTTATGAAATATAACGTGGATTGTTTTTGGTTAATTTGACCAAAATGGTTGGAATCAATCAATACAAAGGCCAAATAATTCATGAGCTTAGAGTGATTTTGATCTTTAAGCTCTTCAGGACCGCCCATAAAGCTTTCAAATTAGACGGCCATTGAATTATCACAACCACCTTTTGTTGCAACATTAATTAGTTATTGGATTGCTATTCTTTACCTTTAATTACCGTTAGCTTTAACGACGACTTTTAGCTCTACCATTACCATTCAAGAAAAGTAAAGTTATGTGTCCTCGTCAATGAACCGACCTTTTTTTTGTAATTTCTTGCCCATAAAATCTTTGTGTATATGTGTATAGTTCTTTCACGTCATAGTTTTAAATTACCGTATCATGATAAAATATATATATATATATATATATATATATATATATATATCAATTTAACTATAAATCACAATTTATCACAACAACAAAATAATAATTTCAATAATTTTATTGTAAATGTATTAATAGGTTAGTAATTATTAATAAATTTATTTTAATTCATATATTTTTAATAATATTATAAATTAAGCATAATAATCATATCTCTAATAATTTAATATCATATAAAAATAATTAAATTTGTTAAAATAAAATTAATAATACCTCTAAATGCTAATAGTTTTAAATTACGGTATCATGATAAAAAAAATATCAATTTAACTATAAATCACAATTTATCACAACAGCAAAATAAAATAATGATTTCAATAATTTTATTGTAAATGTATTAGTAGGTTAGTAATTATTAATAAATTTATTTTAATTCACATATTTTTAATAATATTATAAATTAAGCATAATAATCATATCTCTAATAATTTAATATCATATAACAATAATTAAATTTGTTACAATAAAATTAATAATACCTCTAAATGCTAATAGTTTAATCTCACATAAATAATAATGAAATACAAACAATCATTTTTTTAAAATAATAAAATATAACGACCTTATATAAGATAGTTATTTGTGCGAAACCCCGTTATATTTTTAATAGTAGCATATAACGGATAGATATGCACGAAATCATTAAATAACCACCGATAAATTATATAACGATCCTTATTTATAACTGTGCTTCCAGTGCTTGGATGTCAAGGATATCTCTCTTCAATTACAAGAAGCTAAGACAACTTAATGTGATGGGGTATTGAAAGCAACCTAGGAAAGTGCGACCTCCCGCATTAAACTCTCAGATGTCTTGACAGATTTTTCACGGAATAATTTCTAACTTATCTTTAAAGAGAGGAGAAATGCTAATTGAAATGCAACTCGTTGGTCTGCCAAGTGCCAACACTATATTTGGCAAAGAGAATAAACTATTTTTCAGCCCCTTTAGATTCAACGAGGTTCCATTTTGGCATCTTTAGTTTAGAAATTCCCAAAGCCAACCCTGATGTGATGTTTTCACCAAGTTCCAAAATGGCCCCTAACGATCAAATACCTAACAGAACTGTCCACTTTTTCTATTTTTTTCCCTCACTTTTTCACGTTTGTCACTGTATATTTTCGTGCAAATCCCCATAAATATGATAATATCTAATAAAAATGCGTAAGAATTAAAAAAAAAAAAAAATTGAATTCGTTTATGCTGGAGTGCTTACCCTAAACATTAAAAAAAAAGTGGATAAGGAACAAATTTTGAAATGTATTACAGGGTAGGGCAATACTTGGGAGTGAATTTGTTAATATTCGAGTACTTTTTCAAAGTACTTTCTTTATATCTTCTCCCTATTGTGCCTCTCCAATGGGCGCTAAGATCTTTGTTAGCTTAATGGAAACCAAAATAATCACTTTTCTTATCAACATAATCATGATTTGGAAAAACGACACAAAAAAGGCATCAAGTAGTCATTTTAGAAAGGATAATGGGGTAAGGCTCACCTTATCTTTCAACTTTCTGCCTTTTGTTGTCATTTAAAGGTTAACCCTTCCGAAATATCCATGCATAGAAAGCATCTCATGAAGTACCTCCAAGGGTTGGTACAGAAGGGCCTCCAAATCCAATTATGATGCTTCCTCTAATGATAACTCAATAACATTTTCACTTTTCATCACAAGGAGACAGAGAAGTAAAGAACCCAGAATGTGACTGTATGAAGAAAAATACTGGTAAGACATTGACCTGAAAGGAAAGGTACCAAAAAGCAAGATCAGGTGATCCAGCCAAATCTTTTTCTTGGCAACAAAAGATCTGAATATTTGCTTTAGACAGGATGTGGACGTATTATGATACCTAAAGCAGGACACATGCAGAGCATATCAGAGTTGCCAAAAGAAACGTTAGAAAGAAAGGCAGGGTTATCTATGTGTGTGTCTCTGTGTATGCCTACATTGCTCCACTAACACTTGTATGAGAAGGGGAGAGGCATGTAATAACTGCTATCTCATTCAACCACTCTTGATCAGATACTAGTTTACAACCGAAACTAACAAAACTGCCAGAAATCAACCATGTTAAAGGGGAAAATGAAAAACAAATGCCTTTTGGAATATTTACAGTAAGCCACAAGTGAAGAACGATGAACTTTCTGGGAGTTGATCCAATGGCGTATGAATCCCAAGTTTTTTCACCCTGTATACCCATATTTGAACTCTGTGAAATTGGAAATCCCGAAGAATGCAGCTTAAATTTTGACTCTGAAGGATTTAGGGATTCGATGGGCTTTCTACATGCTTGTCTCCTATGTCTTTTGCAATCTGATTACTCTCGGTTAAGGGAGGTGAATTCTCCCTACCTTCTGCTTCATCGCCATCAGATGCACAATGATTGTCTTGAATGGCGTCCATCCCATCGTTGTCGTATCGTCCTGGTGAAACCCCATGCCCAGTCAACAAGCAGTGATAAGAATGGGAATCAAAGGTCTCTGTACCATATTGAGAACGGATAGCTGAACTAAACAAGGGTTGCATCACTTTATTTTTCTCGGGAAATTCACGCAATGATATTCGACAAACAGGACATGTGGAATGCTGTTGCAACCATATGTCGATGCAGGTCATGTGAAAGGAGTGCCCACAGTAAGGGAGAATCCGCAATACATCTTCACCATGGTATTCTGCAAGGCAAACTGTGCATCTGCCAAATACAACAACCACAACTTATTAACAGCAAATCATGAAATAGTAGAACGCTACAAAACTGTGATGCTGAACATAACAAATGACAGACAGCATGGACATGGTGCGTTCAAAACCTTGCTGTTATCTGTCATTGTTGATCTCTTAAAACCCAATTCAAACCCACCCACCCCCTCCTCTCTTTTGGGTTGCCCCCTTTGGGACAACGGTCATGATGATCCAATTCCCAGGAAAAAAAAAAAAAAGTAAAAATGAACCAGAAGGACCCTTTGGGACAACATGTCAACAACTTGTTTCTACTTTTAGATGCTTCTTGAGGCTGAGTAGCAAGTTCCCAGAAAAGGAAAAAAAAAAAAGTAAAAACGAACCAGTTAAAAGAATTCTGAAGAAATGCAGGCACATATATATATATATCCCTGGGGATTTCAGTCACAACAAAAGAAAACGATAAAGCACTAAGAGTGCTAGCTAGAATGTGTACAAAAGGTTCAGAAAAAAATCAATCGGTTAGGTGAGTAGTCTAAAGGAGCACTGTCACCAACTCAACGACATAGAGGAATTATATTTCTTGAAACTTTTTCTCAGCATCACACAACTAGGATTAACAAAAACATGGCTTATGACTGGAGAAAAGGTAACCAAGAGAGAAGGTTTGGTTGTATAGGAGTTAAAGCTTCATTTATGGGTGCACAGATACCACTAGCTTCATGCATTTTCATCTCAAATGAGTGAAATTATCTTAAGAAAATTGAGGTTCAACATCCAACAGAGTGAACCCTTTGTTAACAGTCCCTACTCCCTATCACCCCTTTCTCTTACCCATGAAGGTGGCACCCAAATTGAACTGATGAATTGTACCAGGAAAAAAAAAAGGAAAAGGGCCTCCAAAATCAGAGTAGAGAAAATATTCTATTTCACCATATCTTTCACATTTTATCAAGGTCAGGCAAATTGAATTCCCAACAGGTCAAGGTTGCTTCAAAGCCAGCCCTTCCGTTTACTGCTGGTTTTTTTTTTTTTAGGGGGTGAAAAACAACCGAAAGCATCCAAGGTTCAACTCCCATTAATTAATTGTTAGAAAGTAAATAATCATACTGGCAGCCCCCACTCAAATTTTCCGTGCCTAGTAAAAACCTTTTAAATAGTTTTTGACCAATCAATCAAGCGCTCAAGGCTTGGGAGAAGAAGTCGGTGGTTCATTAAGCAGCAATAGTTAAGTTATCTCCTAGAAGACTGCTGTAAGAAGACAGCATCTTAAGTTAGAAATATGGAATACGGCAAGATGGCTCAATGAAGGTTTTTGTGCACTGAGCAAAATTTGGCTCAGTCACAACAGTCCAAAGATTTAGCCATCAAAAGGTTTCAGAAATTCTGCTCAGTCAAACAGAAAGTGCAATTAAGAAAAACAAATCACAATATGAAAAAGAGATCCCAGCCCTAAAGTGTGCTTACTCTATCTCATAATGAAGATAGCCACAACTAGATCAAAGTCCATATCAGAAGAAAACTAGAAGTAGAGTCTAATTTCAAAATTTATGGTATAAGAAATTATCCATCTTACACCTCCCCACCTTCAAAATAGAGAAGTGTAAATGGATGAAACCTTTGAATCAAAAAATTATCTTAACACGATATTACTGACACAGCACATTCTTCATTGTAATGACAGCTTAAGCTAACATGGTCGAAAGCCTATGGAAGTTATCTAATATCATACAAAATCATCACATAGAACCCAAAACAGAAAATACTAAAAAGGGATTAAACCAGGGAAAGAAGAACATACTGAGCATCTTCTGAAGCCGAGAAAAGCTTATCATTGTACTTCTTGGTTGGAAAGTTAGCTATAACTACAGGCTCAAGACCATGTAACCCTCGTTCCAACTGTTAACACATGTCAAAGAATAACAGTTAAGCTCCCAGACAGTAACAAGTACCCCATGAAAGAAAACTCTACCGCAAAAGAAAAATCAAAGAAAGATTAGATTTTTTAATAAAAAATTGAGACTTTTGCCCCCTGTACAATACGGATCAATATCACACATTACTGTCCAGTAAGCCGGTTCCAATCTTTGCTACAGACAATTAATTTGTTGATTGGTTTTGTATGACCACAAATAATATATCCAAATTTAAACAAACACAAGAAACTAAACCCAATTAAGAAAAAAAATAAAAACTTTGGAAGCTAAAATCCAACCAGCCCCACTCGTACAATTACAAAACCAAAAACCATTAAAAAAAACCCACATTAATTCCTACAAAACTATAAATGAATAACCTCAAATGTCAAACATTAAACAAACAAAAGAAACTAAACCAAATTAAGAGCGAGAAAGAAAACACATTAACAGCTAAAATCCAACCAAACCAACTCCACACGTACAATTCCAAAACCAAAAACCCACTTCTATTCCCCACACACCAAAAAAAAAAATATACACACACATTATAACAACCAACGAAATATAGAAACAGTGCTGAAAACCAAAGGAAAGACAAAGGGAAATGCTTACTATGCTAAGATCAGATCTGGAAGCAATTGGAAAAGATCGTCTTGATGCATTTAACTGAATCCGAGCACAAATAAGACGAGTGCAAACAAAAACTATAAACATAGTGCTTACAGCAAATCCAATTACTGTCATCACCAAATTTATCCCTGAAGCTATCATTTTTAGATGTAAAGTTCAAATCCTTTTCACTCACTAATACTCAAGAACTCAAAATCAACAAGACCCTTTAATTTTCTCAATCCCTGAACAGAATTCTTGATCTAATTCTACACTTAGAAAAACAGCAAGTAATAAAGGTCCCATCTAGAGACAACAAATAGGAGCAGTAGTTTAGAGTATGATGATTCATGTCTCTTCCTCTCTTTTTTGAAATGTGTAAGAAAATAAAAGAGGTAGTTATGAGAGAAAAGCAAGAAAGTAATTGGCTGTTTTATTGTTGAAGTGAGTGAAAAGGAATCTCTTAGTGAGAGAAGAGCTCATGTTTTGAAGAGAGGGAGAGAAGGCGAGGGGCAGGGATGGAGAGATTAAGGAAAGATTTATGGGAAATTATGGCATCTAATTATCTATGGGTAGATCACAAGTATGTGTTTTATTTATTTATTTATTTGAGGTGGGTATTTAAAGTGGTAAAGGATTATAATCCAGAATGATCTCTGAAATGAGGCTCAAATTTTTCCACTATATATATAAATATAAAAACACACATAAATGAAAATTGATTTTTTTATTTTTATTTTTAAAGTGATTAATTAATACTTTTTCTTTTTTCTCTTATTTCTTTTATTTAATCTTATATGTACTTTTGGACCAAATCAATATGGTTGCTAGTATGGGTATTTATGCTAAAGGTTTTTATTTTTTTATTCCATAATAAAAATATATTCGAATCACATTATGTATTAATGGAAATTGAGTTTTTTAGATGATTATACGCTTGATATATTCAAAAAAATTCAATAATTTTTTTTAAAACAATCAACAACAAAATATAAATCTAAATTGTCAAAAAAATAAAATAAATTTTCTTAACCACCAGACTAATTCTTTTGAATTGTATTTATGCTAAAGTAGTGATATTATACGTGCCTTATGTGGTAAAATAAGACGTTATTAATTTTTATATTATTTTATTTTGATCTATTTGTTGTTATTGTTTTTTTAATAATAATATTTATGAAAAATAGCTTTCTTTGTCGTGATTTAAAACATGTTTTTAATTTTATTTAAATGAATTCCTTTTAATACTTTTTAATAATCGGATTAAGAATACGTAGTTCATCTCCATATAAGGAAACTCTTAAGAAAAAAACATCAAAATATATATATATATATATATATTGATGTGACGAATGGTATATGGGTTTATCACTTACCTCTATAGATGTCACATGAAATCTTTGAATTAAATGTTATTTTTATTACTATGATTTTTTCATAATTCTTTTGTTTATGTAGAGTGGTTTTTTTTTTCTTTTCTTTTACAAGAACTCTGAATTATCAGTTTTCCCGTGTGTATAGGAATACATTCTTCATGTAAACCTGATGCGTTAAAAAAAAACAAGGAGAAATATATATTTTTTTAATTTATTGTTCAACAGATAATAAGGAAAATTGTGAAACTATGGTCAATAAATAAATAAATAAAATATCTAAAACATATTTTACATAAAACAATCGTAACTTTAGGATCTGTAATGGTATCACAGAGTGAAATTATATTTTTTGTTTTTATTTTCCTCTTTTTTAGGAAAGAAAAGGCATCTTTTTTTCACAAAAAATACGTAATCATCGACAAAGATGTTGTTTTCTTATTTTTATTTTTAAGAAATATGTAATCATCGACAAAGATGAATCCTCCGAAAGAAGAGGTACGGACATTGTTATCCAACAACGGAAATCTCAGGTAAGGGGAGACATGATCACCAACAAAGGATTTGTATTGCATGTCGTGTCAATGTGTTTTCTCTACCGTCAAACATCTTATCAAATTGAGTGAAAGGAACAACAAAATCATCAAGTAGGATTTTTTTTTTTTTTTTTAATATTGAAAACATTCAAATATGTTTATTGCAGAGTAAATTATAAACAAGTCCCTTTTGTTTCAATAAACAAATCCATTGGTCCTCTTATTTGAAAAAATAATTATTTAATCTCTTATATTTTAATTTCGTTAGTAACTTAGTTTTTTTTAATTAGGTTTTTCATTAGATTGATGATTTTTTTCTAAACTATCTTTCTTTTGTTGTCTTATTTCTCTACTTCACATATTTTCTTTCTTTCTTTTTCCTCAACCAAAAATTTTTGTTTAAAAAAAAGAAGACAATTTGTAAACAAAAATTACTAATCTACCAGAAAAATGATAAAGTAATTATTTTATTAACAAAATTAAAATGTTAGTAATTAAATAGCTAGTTTGTAAAATAAAAGATACTAATTAAATTTTTTTTAAACGAGAGAGAGTAATTTATAATTTATTCCTTTATTGTTTTATTGAACCATCGAAATCGTTTAGGCTTTTCTTTTCCCCTCATGAAAATGAGCAAATTATAAATTAGGTCCTTTAGTTATGTAAAACAAATTAATTAGTCATTTTATTTCAAAAACTAATTATTTAACTTTTTTTATTTTATGTTTTTTTATAATTTATTTTATTTTCTAGTTAGGATTATAGAAAAGATTAATGAAAAAATAAGATATTTTTTAGAATAAAGTGATATTAAATTAATCATGATTAAAATTGGTTAAAGAACTAAATAGTTAGTTTTTGAAACAAATGAGAGCTATTGATTCATCTTTGAAAACTACAATGGCTAATTTATAATTTACTCTAATGAAAACAGAGGGGGGCAATTAATAATAATTTATTTAGATATTTCAAGCCATGTTAGAAAATGAATAATAATTTATTTATGTTTTTTCATTTATATTTCAATCGAAAAGGAAATCTCCCTTGTATTGACGTATAGAAACCAAGATATTTCATGTCAAGTTGCCGATTATAAAATAACCCATGTCAAATCCTCCCCTCTTGCACATAAAAGAAGTTGGAATCTTGTTCTAAATGACTAGGAGTGAAGGTGAGATCTGAGTTTCTTGAGATTTTTTTTTTTGAGGAATCTTGTTTTTGAAATATTAAATTAACTATTTGATCTTTTTTAAATCAAAGTTAGAGTGTAATTAATTTGTGGAATGACATGATTACTTTATTTGGTGAAGTCCATTGATTTCTCCAAAGAGGAGAAATCAAGAGGGGTTTGGATAGAGACGTGTGGCATCAAAGTGGTCTTTTTTTTTTAAAAAAAAAAATATATTTTGCTGGCTAGTTATTGGCTAGCCAGGAGGGTTTTCAACAAACAAATATCAAAGTCAGAAATGAAAAACAAGAGAAGGAAATAAAGAGAGAGAGAGAGAGAGAGTTCAAGGATTTGTTCTGTTTTTTTTTTTTTTTGGGAAGGAAGTTGAGCAATATATGTGTATATGTTTAATTGTTGATTTAAAGCTAAACTAATTTGACTTTGTTGGTAAAAAGAAAGAAACATACATAAGTCACATTTGGAGTAAATTATAAATTAGTTTCTCTATTTAAAAAAAAAAAGAATTAATTAGTCATTTTTGTTTTAAAAACTAATTTTTTAGTCTTGATAATTCTTTTTTTAATTTATTTTGATTTTTTATTTTAAGAAATAAAAAAAGTTAAAAATATAAAAAGATTATGAGAACAAAGATTTTTTTGAAATAAATTACTATTAAATATAAAGAAATTAAATAATTATTTTTAAAAACAAAAGAGACTAATCAATTTTTTTTTTAAACCAAAAGGACTAATTTATAATTTGCAGTAATGGCATCATTGGTATCCTAAAATTAGTATTAAAAAAAAAAAAATACAGGGAGAGAAATCATTTCCTGGGCAGGGACAGGCGTCAATTTTCTTACTTGTTCTCTGTTTTTTTTTTTTTTTTTTTTTTGCCACCTTAAGAATAGCCTAGTACAGGAAGAGGATGCAAAAAAGGTACACTGACTCATAAGTTCTTTTTCCTTTGTTTTCGCTCCATCGATTTTGATTCTGTACTCTGAAATTGAAAAGCTTATCATGTCATTATGCATGGAGATTTAAAAGAATTCCCATGTTTTTTGGGCTATTTTGAACACATGTAAAGTTCCCAAGCTTCTTTGGATTTTAGAATGAGACATGCAGTACGAAACTATAAAATTTCAGGTATTTTATTGATTTAGAATTGCCAAATTCTATGATTATCAGAGATCCTGTACAGATTTTCAGGATTTAAATTATGTCCTTTAGGGACAAAAAGCAAATGTTTCCTCCTTGGACCAGAGCCCAAAAATATTCTTCCTCGATTGAAGTCTTGAGGAAATACTTTTATGGATTGTTTAGATTAATAAAAATAACCCATAAAATTGTGACAACTGACAAGCACGGGTTTTTTTTTTTTTTTTTTCGGAGGCACACATAAATAGTTATTAAACAAGAATCAAGAGAAAGAAAGAGGTGGGTATGGAATAATGAAAAAACAAAAATTCCTTACTCCATCGTTCCTCCAGCCCAACGCATCACGGTTTCTCAATTTATTATGGCGGATGGTATTTTATGCGGAAAGAAATTCATTTTCCTCTTTTTATTTTTTATATTTTCTTAATGTGATTTTTTTTATTTTTTATTTTTTATTATATTTCTCTGCTTTTTAAATATTTCTAATGTGGTCCTTCTAATCATTTTTCGATCAATTTTTTGAGCAAACATGACAAGTGGTGTTAAAAGTGGACACATATAATACGGTGTCAGATAAAATTGTTGTTTGGAAAAAAACGAAAAAAAAATTAGCTAAAAAAAAATGAAAGGAATTTTTTTTCAAGTGTAAAAAAATAAATTAATCACTCGCTCCCAGTCCCATGAACTAAAATTGAAATGGAATTTTTTTAGTTTTTGCTAGACTTAACCGGAGTTGAGGCATGTACCTCTCATGTGGAAACAGATTTAGTCTTTTCAAAAGTATTTTGAGATTAAAAATCAATTATTTGTAGCTCGTTCGGGGCCGGTTTTATAATATATGTGGCTTTAGGCAACATAATATTTTAAAGACTCTTTCATAAAATAAATAAATATTAAATATTATTTAAATATTATTTTTCTTGCTTTA